GAATGAGTGTAAAAAAAAAAAAAACTCTGAGCTCCCCCAGCAGCCGAAATTTCCTCTGAAAAACAAAATTTCAATTGGATTATTTTCTGGTTAAAAAAATTTAAATTTGATTCTTTTCTGGAAAAAAAAAAATTAAATTTTATTATTTTCTGGAGAAAAAAAATTAAATTGGATTATTTTCTGGGCAAATTTAAATTTAATTTTTTTTCTAGAAAAGAATCAAATTTCTGTGTTCCCACTCACAGAAATCTGCAGCGTTCTGGCCAAGCAAATAAACTCAAAATAAGAATGAAAAATAAAAATAAACAATAAAAAAATAAAACAAATGTGAAAAATGAATTTCTCAAAGGCTGCAGGAGGTCCCCAAAGGGAGAAATGGCAGCAGGGGGGGTGAAATCTGAATTATTTGGGATTGAAGCAGCCCCCAGTTCACACAAATTTGTCAGGAATTATTTCAGCACAAAAAGAATGAGTGTAAAAAAAACTCTGAGCTCCCCCAGCAGCCGAAATTTCCTCTGAAAAACAAAATTTCAATTGGAATATTTTCTGGTTAAAAAAATTTAAATTTGATTCTTTTCTGGAAAAAAAAAAATTAAATTTTATTATTTTCTGGAGAAAAAAAATTAAATTGGATTATTTTCTGGGAAAATTTAAATTTGATTATTTTCTGGTAAAAAAAATTAAATTTGATTATTTTCTGAAAAAGAATTTAAATTTAAATTGGATTATTTTCTGGGAAAAACTTAAATTTTAATTTGACTATTTTCTTGAAAATTTTAATTTAATTTGATTATTTTCTGGAAAAATTGAGATTTCAACAATATTATTTTCTGGGAAAAACTTAAATTTTAATTTGATTATTTTCTGAAAAAGAATTTAAATTTAAATTGGATTATTTTCTGGGAAAAATTGAATTTCAATTGGATTGTTTTCTGGGAAAAACTTAAATTTTAATTTGATTATTTTCTGGAAAATTTTAATTTAATTTGATTATTTTCTGGAAAAATTGAGATTTCAATTGGATTATTTTCTGGAAAGTCAGGCCTTACAGCACTTCATCTCTGACTGTGAAACAGCAAAAAAAAAAAGTGGATTTAAAGGTCAATAAAGCAAAGGCCATTGATCTGGGGGCCCATTATTCAGATTATTATTCAGATTATTATTCAGAATATTCAGATTATTATTCGGATAATTATTCGGATAATTATTCAGATAATTATTCAGATAATTATTCAGATTATTATTTGGATTATTATTTGGATTATTATTCAGATTATTATTCAGAATAGTCAGATTATTATTCAGATTATTATTCAGATAATTATTCAGATTATTATTCAGATTATCATTCAGAGCTTGCAGCTCACCTCCCCACCCCACATTCCCTTCCCCAGGAGCACCTGGCAAACCCAGGCAGCACAAATGCTGTTATTCAGAATAAAAAAATTCCCTAAAAAAACCCCAAAAAGTGAATTTTAAATTCATTTTTTAAAGTGAAAAAAAGGGAAAAATCAGAATAAATTTTGAAAGAACTCCTGGTTCCTGAGGGTGGATTTTTCCTGACAGTGCAGAGTGAAGAATTGCTGTTATTGGTAATAAATAAATAAAATTCACTCACAAAAAAGGGAAAAAACCTGACTAAATCTTCCTGCAAGGAGCAGCAAAGCGACTCCAGGAGTGCTCCTGAGGGGGTTTTATTTTGATTTAGTTTTTATTTTCTGACAGCAAACCTGTCCAGCCTGTACAAAGGCACCTGTGCAACCTCCTGCAGCCAAACGTGGCACCAGAACCCCGGGGTGGGGCAGCAAGGAAAGGAAAATCAATTCAACGACATTTGAAAAACTCAGTTCTGTCGGAAATGGGGGGGAACAATAGAGACCGGGAAATGGGGGGGAACCGCACAGACCGGGAAATGGGGGGAGTGCATGAGGATGTGGGGAAATGGGGGGAAATCCATAAAGACATGGGGAAAAGGGGGGAATCCATACAGACGTGGGAAATGGGGAAAAAGTTCATGAAGACATGGGAAAATGGGGGGAAATCCATACAGACATGGGAAAATGGGGGGAAAATCTGTAAAGACACGGAAAAAATGGGGGAAAAGTTCATAAAGACACAGAAAAAAGGGAGGAAATCCACAAAGACATGGAAAGAAGGGGGAAAATCCATAAAGACATGGAAAAAAGGGGGGAAATCCATAAAGACATGGAAAAAATGGGGAAAAAGTTCGTAAAGACACAGAAAAAAGGAAAAAAACACCATCAACACAAAAAGGGGAAAACAATCCATAAAGACACAGAAAAAAAAAGGGGAAAAAATCCATGAAGAGAAAGAAAAAAGGGGGGAAAAAATCCATCAAGACTCACCAAAATAACTTGAAAACAAAAATCCCTAAAGATGCACAGAAAAGGGGGGGAAAATCCATAAAGACACAGAAAAAAGGGGAAAACAAACCCATAAAGACACAGAAAAAATGGGGGAAAATCCATAAAGACACCGAAAAAATGGGGGAAAAGTCCATAAAGACACAGAAAAAATGGGGAAAAATCCATAAAGACACAGAAAAAATAGGGAAAAAGTCCATAAAGACACAGAAAAAATGTGGAAAAATCCATAAAGACCCAGAAAAAATGGGGAAAAAGTCCATAAGGACACAGAAAAAAGGGGAAAACAATCCCTAAAGACCCAGAAAAAATGAGGCAAACTCCACAGAAAAAAGGGGAAAACAATCCCTAAAGACACACAAAAAATGAGGCAAACTCCATCAGCACCCAGAGCACATCCCTGGCACGCAGGTTTCAGTGGCACAGGGAACTCCCCCTCCCCACACGGCTCTGGCTGACCCCGCCGGGGCATTTCCAGCTCTTTTTGCACATTTCCACCTTCAAGTGCAGCCAAGAGCTCCCGGGAAGGCAGAGCTGCGAGGTTTTGGCGCTTCTGGTTGCAAATGATCCTGTTCTCACAGGGGAGAGCCCGCCTCCCGTGCGCCCGGATCTGCCGCTCAGCGCACGAACTTCGCTGCCTTTGGCTTTCGGCTTCTCGGGGAGTGGAACGAACAGAAAAAAATGGCATTTCTCATCTGGCAGGGCAGGAAAAGGGACACCGGGGGCGGCAGGGAGGAAAAGGGACACTGGGACACGCTGGGAAGGTGGCACGGCACAAAAAGGGACACTGGGACAGGCTGGGAGGAAAAGGGACACTGGGACAGGCTGGGAAGGTGGCAGGGCTCTAAAAGGGACACTGGGACAGGCTGGGAGGGTGGAAGGGCACAGAGAGGGATACTGGGTCAGGCTGGGAAGGTGACAGGGCACTAAAAGGGACACTGGGACACGCTGGGAAGGTGGCAGGGCACAGAGAGGGACACTGGGACAGGCTGGGAGGGTGGCAGGGCACAGAGAGGGGCTGGCAAGGTGGCAGCAGGACAGGTTTGGGCCAGGAAAGCGTGGCAAAGAGGGACAGCAGGGGCTGGAAGGGCAGGGAAATAGGGAGAACAGGGGGGGGAAAGCAGGGAAGAAAGCAGGGAAAAGGGAGCAGGGAAAGGGAACAAGGAGGAAAACGGGGCAAAGAGCAAGGAAGAAGGCAGGGAAAAGGAACAGGGCAAAAAAAGGAGCAGGGAGAAGGCAATGCCGGAGGGAGCGCAGCCCTCACGGAACCCCCGCTCAGCCCTCACGGAACCCCATGGATCCCTCACGGAACCCTCACTCAGCCCTCACGGAACCCCCGCTCAGCCCTCACAGAGCCCCGTGGATCCCTCACGGAACCCCATGGATCCCTCACGGAACCCCATGGATCCCTCACGGATCCCTCACGGAACCCCCGTTCAGCCCTCACGGAACCCCATGGATCCCTCACGGAGCCCCATGGATCCCTCACGGAGCCACCGCTCAGCCCTCACGGAACCCTCACGGAGCCCTCACGGAGCCCCATGAATCCCTCACGGATCCCTCACGGAACCCCCGTTCAGCCCTCACGGAGCCCCCGCTCAGCCCTCACGGAGCCCCGTGGATCCCTCCCGCCGCCCGGGCAGTGCGGGCCGGGCCTCCCGCGCGGTGCCGCAGCCCTGAGCGATCGCAGCCAAGGCCGGCGCCGCTCCCCCGCAGCTCAGCCCGGCCCCGCACGCCGCCGCCGCCGCCCCGCTCTCCCGAGCGCACCGACGGATGAGGGGGAGGCGCGGTAAGAGGCGGGGCGCCGGTAGCGGCACGGGGCGGGCGGGGAGCGCTCGGTGCGGGGGCGGGGAGCGCGGCCGGGCCCGGGGGGACTGCCCGGGACCCCGAACGGCACCGCCGGGAGCCCGAAGAGCCCGACCGGGCATCCCGAACGGCCTCGCCAGGAGCCCCGGCGAGTGCCCGGCTCGAGGAGTGACAATCCCGCCCGGTTCCCCCCTGCAGCACCGGTGCGGGGCGCGGAGATCCCGCCCGTTCACACCGGGGATCCCATCCCGGAGATCCCGGCCGGCTCCGCTGTCCAGCACGGCCCCGGTGTCCTTCGGGCGGGGGCTCTGGCCGGTCCCCGCGGCCCCTCAGGGCTCAAAGCCCGGGCAGTGGCGGTGGGAGCGCAGCTCCAGCGGCTCTCGGTGAAAGGAGAAGGAAATGAAATCCCGCGGGTTTGATTCTCCCCCAACCTTTGGGAAGGAAATTAAACCCCGCAGGGAACCCCCTGTTTGATCCTCCCCACCCCAAACCCCCCAGGAAGGCAAAGCTCGGGAGCCACAGGCTGCACCAAACCCGCTGCCCTCAGTTCTCATCATTCTGCATTTTTTTCCCCAGCTTTTGCCCACTTTGGGGGCCCTTTCAGCCAGGGCAGTGCCCAAAGCCCTGCAGCCTCTCCTCCTGCACGGGGGGGAGGGAGCTTTGAAGAACACAGTGACCTTTGCAATGTGCTGGCAGCCAGCAGAGCAAATCAACTCTGCTCGAGGCTTTACTCACGAACTCAGCACTCAGGCACCTCCCAGCACCTCGCTTTTCCTGCCACAAAAACAAGGCTCCACGAAGAGCCACCCAGCCCTGGAAGGTTTGTTTTATAAGGTCACCATTTCTACAGAGAGTATCACATTAAAAACATCCACTCACAAAACCAGCGGCGCAGGAGGAAGGCTCAGCACCAGAGCGGGGCTGCCACAAAAGCCTTCAGAGCCTTTCTGGGGCATGCTCTGCCCACAAATCCAGCAAATGCACAGTTCTGCCTCAGTCCATGAGGCTCTTGGCCCGTTCACTGCAATGAAAGCATTCCTGGATCCAGGGCAGTGCTAAGAGGTGACGAAGCCTGGCATTCCCAGTGGCACCAGCGCCTGCTTGGTCACACTCTGGAATTCCCACCCCGCTGCCAGTCCCTGCCCTGCTCCCCTCACTGAGGGAGAACATGAACTTTACTCCTGGATGCCAACAGTTCCTTTGGATATTATCCCAAATCCTTACTTTGCTTTTTTTTTCTTGCTTTTTTTTTTCCTTTTTTTGGTGTTTTTTTGTTTTTGTTTAAAACGTTACGCTGGCGGAAAAATCCCAAACAAAGCAGCGACACAAGGGTGGGGTCAGCAGTAAAAGAACAGGGACAGAGAGACCACATTGACAAATGCTGGGATTCCTCCTCACCCAGCCCCTGCCAGGGGCACAAATGGGAACCAGCAGCCAAACTCTGGGCAGGACAGAGCCAGCCCTGCTGTCAGAGCAGTGAGAACAGCCCCGTCCTGCACACCAGGGGGGAGCAGATCATCTTCAGCCATGAGATGACCCAGGGAATGATCACTACACAGAGTTGATTTGCAGGCTGTGAATGCAGAAAGCCATTTCAGCTGCAGCTCCCCAGATAAAAGCTCCCTGCAGCCTTCCCAAGCCAGGAAATTTGCTTCCAAGTTCGCTGCGGGTGCTCCAGCCGGGCGTCGGGCAGAACCATCCACGCCACTTCCCACCAGACTCCGGGGGGGCTCAGACACTTTTTGCATCTTCCCTGCTTGTTGAAAGGAGGCTTCACTGAGCCAGGCTCCCCTTCTGGCCCGTCCAGAGCTCCCGCAGCTCCACCTTGCAGCCCAGGTCCCTGAGGGCAGCCCTGGCCACGTCGTCGCAGTCGCGGTGCGCGGCGCGCGCCTCGGCGATCAGCACCTCGGCCCCCAGCGCCAGGATGGGCCCGCACAGCTCCCGGCTGCGAGCCACCAGGTTCCGGATCAGCATGCAGGCCTGCTTCTGGGGACAGGCAGGCACAGGGTCACGGGGGTCTGCAGGGGTTTGTAGGGACCCACAGGGGTTTGCAGGGAGCCATGGGGTCACGGGGGTCTGCAGGGAATCACTGGGATCACAGGGGTTTGTAGGGACCCACAGGGGTTTGCAGGGAGTCACAGGGTCACGGCGGTCTGCAGGGAATCACTGGGATCACAGGGGTTTGTAGGGGGCCATGGGGGGCACTGGGATCTGCAGGGGGGCCACGGGGTCACAGGGGTTTGTAGGGGGCCACAGGGGTCACAGGAGTCTGCAGGGGGCCATGGGGTCTGCAGGGAAACACTGGGGTCACAGGGGTTTGTAGGGGGCCACAGGGGGACACGGGGGTCTGCAGGGGTTTGTAGGGAAGCCACGGGGTCACTGGGGTCTGCAGGGACCCACAGGGGTTTGCAGGGAGTCACAGGGTCACGGGGGTCTGCAGGGAATCACTGGGGTCACAGGGGTTTGTAGGGGGCCACAGGGAGACACTGGGGTCTGCAGGGGATTGTAGGGGGCCACGGGGGGCACTGGGGTCTGCAGGGACCCACAGGGGTTTGCAGGGAGTCACAGGGTCACGGGGGTCTGCAGGGAATCCCTGGGATCACAGGGGTTTTTAGGGGGCCACAGGGGTCACGGGAGTCTGCAGGGGTTTGTAGGGGGCCACGGGGGGCACTGGGATCTGCAGGGGGCCACGGGATCACAGGGGTTTGTAGGGAAGCCACGGGGTCACGGGGGTCTGCAGGGAACCACAGGGGTTTGCAGGGGGTCATGGGGGTCTGCAGGGGGTTCACTGGGATTGGTAGGAAAGCCATGGGATCACAGGGGTTTGCAGGGAACCACAGGAGTCACTGGGGTCAGCAGGGAGCCACAGGGTCACAGGGGTTGGTAGGGAACCACAGGGGTCTGCAAGGAGCCACTGGGGTCTGCATGGGGCCACGGGGGTCTGTAGGGAGCCACAGGACACTGGGGTTGGTAGGGAATCATTGGGGGTTTGTATGGAAGCCATGGGGTCACTGGGGTTGGTAGGGAACCACAGGGGTTTGTAGGGAAGCCATGGGGTCACTGGGGTCTGCAGGGGGCCACTGGGGTTGGTAGGGAACCACAGGGGTTTGTAGGGAAGCCATGGGGTCACTGGGGTCTGCAGGGGGCCACAGGGGCACTGGGATTGGTAGGGAATCACTGGGGTTTGTAGGGAACCACAGGGGTCAGTGGGTTTTGGACAGAAGCCCAGGGGTCACTGGGGTCTGTAGGGAAGCTCAGGGGTCACTGGGATCTGCAAGGAGCCACAGGGAGCACTGGGGTCTGCAGGGAGCCACAGGGGGCACTGGGGTCTGCAGGGAGCCACAGGGGTCAGTGGGTTTTGTAGGGAGGTCAGTGGATTTCTGAGGGAAGCCCAGGGGTCAGTGGGTTTTGGAGAGAAGCCCAGGGGTCACTGGGGTCTGCAGGGAGCCACAGGGGGCACTGGGGTTTGTAGGGAGGTCAGTGGATTTCTGAGGGAAGCCCAGGGGTCAGTGGGGTCTGCAGGGAGCCACAGGGGGCACCGGGGTGACAAATGTAGGCGGGCTGCACTGAGTCGCTGCCTTCCCAACCTGTCAGAATTTGCTGAGTAAAAGGAAAAAAAAAAAAATCCCAAAGAAAACAAACGAACAGCCCTGCCTGCCTCAGCAGGTGCTGTGAGGGACATACCTGCACAGCCACCTCTCGTGGGTGAGCCTTCATGGCCTGCAGAGCTGCCAGGGCCCCGCCGCTCTCCATGATGACGCTGCAGTTCTCGGGCTTGCGCAGGGCCAGCATGCACAGGGCTGCACAGCCCTGCTCACAGATCTGCAACACACAGGGCAGCACGCTCACTGCCTGCAAAGCTGCCTTGCAGCCCAAGAAAAGTGGGGTTTCTTTCCTGTTATGGCAGTTTTGGAGTTGTTTTTATAGTTTTGAAGTTTCTCCCGCTGCGGCGCCCTGCTGCTCAGGCACGTAAAGCAAGGGGAGGGTTGGAATAACAATCTTAGAGATATTCCCAACCTTCACAATTCTGTGCTTTGCACGCCAGAGGTGTCAAACACCATCCCCACCATCCACCTGATGCAGGAATAAGAAAAATAAACCAACACGAGGTGGGAAAGCCCTAAATTCACACAAATATTGGACGCTCTGCAGCCGAGCGCTCGAGGTCCATCCGCTGCTCACACACACATCCTGCAGCTCCAGCTGAGCTCCACGCCCGTCCCAGAGGGAACTCCCAAGGCCCTGGGGGGTAGCTGAGGGCAGCCTGGAGGGTACCTGAGGGTTGCCCAGGTGGTGGCTGATGGCCAGCACGATGAGGTCGGTGGCCCCGGCCTCCACGATGGCGTCTTTGACGTCGTCGTTGCCGGCCACGGCGCGGATGGCGCCGAGCACCTGCTTCACCACGTCCTGCCCCGGGGGGAAACAGCAGGTCAAAAAGCAGCACGGAGAGTTGGAGAGCTCAGAAAGCAAAGCAGAACATCCCCCATTCCATGAAAATGGCTGTGGCAATTATCAGTTATAGAAACTCTACCCTCAGTGCTGCACAAGGAACCTTCAAAAAGTCTGCCAGACCATCGGCGAGGCTTAAAAAATCACACATCAACCTCTGGCACTTGAGCATTTAAATGCTTTGTTTGAAGTCTCTTTCTGGTGGAAAACCAACCATTCAGCTTTTCTGGGAGCAGGCAGAATTCTGCTGGTGGAGGCTGCAGGATGCAGGGATAACTCTGAGCAAGAAGCTCACAAATTTTACCTTTAAAATTTAAAAGAATTAATTTAATTCTATAAATAGGGATCAGAGGGGTTTCAACCCTGATTGCACCCGAATTATTGCACAGGCTAAGGCTCATTAATTAACATGAACCTCACTGCTGAGGATGAGATGCTCCCCAGTCCACCCCCAAACACTTCCCAGTGCTCACCGGGTGCTCCATGCAGTCAGCCAGCAGAGTCACCATGAAATTTAAGCCCCCAAGGTCCACGATTTCCTGGCAGAACTCATTCCTGACTGAGAGGCGAGAGAGGGTGGCACAGAGCTCGCTGAGAACCCCAGAGTTATCCCTGAAGGCTGTGGAGGAGAGAGGAGGGATGGAGTCATTACTGCACAATTAATGGGGTTTACTTTAATTAAATTACACAGGAAACATTTCATTTTATGTATTAAAACAGGGGAGATGACACCTGCTCACTCTGTTCCTAGCCAGAGTCACAATGTCTTCTCTGGGCAATAGGGCCCTAAACCTCTAAAATACTTCCTAAAATCAGTGAAAAACTGCTCTGATCATCTGACTGCTCCACAGGTTATCAGCAGCACATGGTGGCACTTCCTGGCTCTCTCAGGGCACATTTCATGGATAGAATTAAACCCCATTTGAGTGACAAATTCTTGAATCGCCTCCAAGGAGCTTCAAGTTATGACAATGAGAGAAGAAATCACACAATGGGAGAAGAAATCACAAGTGATTCCCGAGAAGAAATCACAAATTACTCCCGAGAAGAAACCACAAGTGATTCCTGACACAATGAGAAGAAATCACGAGTGATTCCTGAGAAGAAATCAAAAGCAATTCCTGAGAAGAAACCACAAGTGATTCCTGAGACAGTGACAGAAGAAACCACAAGTGATTCCTGAGACAATGAGAGAAGAAATCACGAGTGATTCCTGAGAAGAAACCACACAAGTGATTCCTGAGACAATAAGAAGAAATCTCAGCTGCTTCCCCCTCAGGATCAACATCCCCAGGGCTCATTTTACCTTTTGCAGCCTCAATGAGGACTCTCAACCCATCGTTCTCCAACACAATCATCTTGGCGTGGTCGTGGGCGTGACCGAAGGGCACACGGATGTCGTCGTCGAACGTCATGACCCTGAGGGCCGAGGCTGCCATCCTGACCAGCTCAGCACTGCCGCCGTGCTGGGTGATGGCTCCAGTGAGGAGAGGGAGGATGCCACCCTTGACAAAGCCCTGCCTGTTGTGCTCGTGCTTGAGGCAGGCGTGGCGCACGCAGCGGATCCCGGCCAGCGTCGCCTCGGCGTCCCCGCGCCGCTCCCGCAGGCTCCGCAGCAGCAGCTCCTGCCCCGCGGCGTCCAGCAGGTCTGGCTGCCCATCCAGCAGGGCGCCCAGCGTGGAGAAGGCCTGGAGCAGCAAATCCCTGTCCCCTGCAGCCAGCTGGCAGGCAGAGAGCACGGCGGGGTAGGCGCCGTTCTGGCCGGCCAGGTGGCGGAAGGCGAGCTGCTCCTTGCACTGCGCGGCGAAGGCCGACAGCTGCTGGGGCAGCTGGGCCACGTCCTGCTCTGCCACGGCTCTGCCCAGGCACTCCAGGGTCTGAGGGACACACCAAGGGTTAGTTCTGCACCTGGAGCGTGCAGGAGGAACGGCAAGGTGGTTATTTTGGGGTTGAAAATCGCTTTGGGGTGACGGGAGCGGCGTTTATGGGGTTTGGGTTTGTGCACGCGACCCCTGGAGGGACAGGGCGTCCCTCTGCCACCTCGGCCACAGCTCCACCGGGCACCAGCACCAGCTGAACTGGCTCCAACCAGCTCCTTCCAGCTCTGCAAGTGTCCTTGGCCAGGCTGGACAGAGCCTGGAGCAACCTGGGCTAAGTGGGACCGATCCCCACCTTGTCCCCAGCCCAGAGTCACATCCTGTCACTCGTGGGACACCTCCAGGGGTGGGGACCCCAAACCTCCCTGGGCAGCCCTGAGCACCCTCCCCGTGAGGAAATCCCTCCTGATGTCCCAGCTGAGCCTCCCCTGGCACACCTTGAGGCCGTTCCCTCCTGTCCTGCCCCGGGAGCAGAGCCTGACCCCACCTCACCTACACAGAGCCTTCCCTGAAACGTGCAAGGAGCTCTTGGAACGTTTTATATTTGCAGAAGAATGGGGAATAACTGCCTGAGGAGCTCCCAGAGAAATGGGGCAGAGGCAGAAGTTGGCCTAGTACTATTATTATTATTATTATTATTATTATTATTATTATTATTTAACCCTGAGAGAGAGAGCAGCCCCTACCAGCAGGATTTGATGCTTTTGCCTCTGCCCGTTCTCAGAGGCAGGAGGTCGCACAGCTTTCACAATATTGCTCAGGTCCACACCTAAAAGGGGAAACAAAACCAAGTTTAATATTGGTTCCAGGAGAACCAGAGTCAAATAAACAGCATTAGTTCCAGCTCTAGGGAAAAGCTGCCAAGGTAACCACTGAGAACAAAGATGAACTTGTAAAGATGCTGAAATGTTCAGCTCTGACTGTAAGGTCAGATTCTGTCTGCAACAAAGCTAGATGTTAGTTGAGGGGGAGAAAAAAGAAGGATTTAATTTCACTGACCAAATTTTGTCCTCCAGCTTCCCTCTAAGCAGTTTTGCAGTCATAATTAATCCACAAAACCAGGTCAGCATTAATGGTGTCTCTGTTCCACTTCACAAAAGCTCCTTTCCAACGCTGCACGACCCATCTTTGCCCGCAGCATTCCTTTAAACCCTGGGGTTTCCAAAATCCCAGCCTGCAAAATGCACGGTACCTTGGGCCTCAAACTGCTGCACAGCTTCCCTCACAGCCTCCTCGGGCTCCATCTCGAACTCGGTGATGTTCTCCTGCACCGCGTCGTCAAACGTCTCCTGGGCGATCTGCTTGGAGCCCATGCTGCTGGGCTGGGCTGGATGCACCTCGGGGTCCTGCTGCTGACAGAGGCCCAGCTCCTTTTGGTATAAAACCTTCTAATGGGTTTGTAACCTCCGTGCCCTGCTGCTGACAGAGGCCCAGCTCCTTTTGGTATAAAACCTTCTAATGGGTTTGTAACCTCCGTGCCCTGCTGCTGACAGAGGCCCAGCTCCTTTTGGTATAAAACCTTCTAATGGTTTTGTAACCTCTGTATCCTGCTGCTGACAGAGGCACAGCTCCTTTTGGTGCTGGATGCACCTCAGGGTCCTGCTGCTGACAGAGGGCCCAGCTCCTTTTGGTATAAAACCTTCCAATGGTTTTGTAACCTCCATGTCCTGCTGCTGACAGAGGGACAGCTCCTTTTGGTGCTGGATGCACCTCGGGGTCCTGCTGCTGAGAGAGGGACAGCTCCTTTTGGTACCAAACCTTCTAATGGTTCTGTAACCTCCATGTCCTGCTGCTGAGAGAGGCCCAGCTCATTTTGGTACAAAACCTTCTAATGGTTCTGTAACCTCTGTGTCCTGCTGCTGACAGAGGGCCCAGCCCCTTTTGGTGCTGGATGCACCTCGGGGTCCTGCTGCTGACAGAGGCCCAGCTCCTTTTGGTGCAAAACCTTCTAACGCCCAGCAGAACATGAGCAAGGGGCTTGTTCTACCCCGGGACAAAAGCTCAGGACTCTGACTCAAAGATACCCAGCCAAAGGCAAGGCCGGTGTTTTATTTAATGGGGAAAACGCGGCGGGGAAGAGGGATATGGAGACATTTCAGCAGCATTTTCATGGAGTTTCAGGAGCTGTCACCGTGACGGGGCTGCAGCACGGAGGGCACCGTGCCCGGTCACAGTCCCCGGCCCTCAGCCCGCCCTGCCCCGCTTCCCCCGGGCCCCGGCGCATCCCACACCCCTCAGCAGGCCCCGCAGCCCCCAGCGACGCGGAGAGGGCCGCGGAGGAAGGCGGCGGTGCTGGGGGAGCTCCGGGGCGCACCCGCGGCCCCGCTCCCCCTCACGACCCACCTGGGCTCCCGCCGGCCGCCCCGCCGGACAAAAGGCGAAGGCGGGACGGCCCCACTCGGCCGCCGTACGCGCTCTCTGCGCATGCGCCGCGGCCCGAATTCGCACCGCTCGCCCTCGCACCGAGCGAAAAAGAGCGCGGGAGGGCGGCAACGCGCATGCGCACCGCTCCCGCGCCCGGCCGCTCCTACGCACGCGTAGTAGGCGCAGCGTGCCCGGGCGCGCCCGCAGGGCAGCGGCTGCTCCCTCAGAGCGGGAGGCCGCGGGCCGCTCCCCTCGCTCCCGTCCCGCTTACCGGCAGCGCGCCCGCACCGTTAGTACCGCCCCGCGTCCGGCGGCAGGGGATGAGGCGGCTCCGCGCAGCGCAGGCGCGGCGGGAGGGGGCGGGACACGGCGGCGTGGTTAACGCATGAGGAGGCGTGGCCCGAGCGAAGGAGAAGGCGTGGTTATACCGATGAGGGGCGTGGCCTAAAAGGGGGCGTGCCCACCCGCGGTCTCCGTGAGCCCCGGGACCGGCGGGAGGGGCGTGGCCATCAGCGGGAGGGGCGTGTCTACCGGCGAAGGGGGCGTGGCCAGCGGGAGGTCCCGGTGTGGCGGGAGGCGGCGGGGCCGCCTGGGTGAGGGCGGGCCGGGCTCGGGATCCGCTCCGGTTCCTCCTCCCGGCGCTGCGCGGGGGGCGGCGGCGGGGAAGCGTGAGGGTCCCCTCAGGCCGCGCCTCCCCTCAGGCCGCGGCGGGAGCCCGGGCCCGCGCCAGGCCGTGCCGTGCCGTGCCGTTCCCCGGTGCCGTGAGGGGAAGATGGCCTCTCGGAGGATCACCCGCGAGACGTTCGAGGCCGTGGTGCAGGACAAGGTGAAGCGGTACCGGAGCGGTGCCGCGGGGGACTCCATCCATCATTTCCCAGGTAGGAGAACCGGGGGATGGCGGGAGCGGCGCCTGCCGTTCAGCTATTTATTTATTTATTTATTAATTTATTCGCCTGGCGCTGCTGTTTTTCCACACCCGTTTTTATGGAAGAGGCAGGAGAACAGCTGGGCACCGTAACGGGGGGGTGGGGGGGGAAAAAAAATGGGAATTGAGACAAAGGAATTGTCTTCAGCATCGGAGAGCGGGTCCGGTTCCAGGCAGGTCTCCGGGGACGCTGCTGCTGGATGGATTGCTGCTGATAAGTTATATATATATATATAAATAAATGTAGGAGTGCTGCTGGAAGCCTTTGGGGCATTGTGGTTGGTGTTATTTTTTTGGGGGGGGAAAAGCTCAAAGCAGGGCATTGACCTCATGGACGTGACGCAAAATGTGGTCCCCGAATTGTTTTATCTCTTAAATTTGGGGTGTAAAACGTCCAGCAAGATGCTTGGGTTGGATTCACAGGGATGGACGTCCACAGGAGAGCTTTAAAATGAAGGCTGTTATTTTTAGAGTTGCACGAGCCCTGAAGAAATCATTTATATTAAACACTCCTATTTTTTCCCAAGTATTCTTTACTTGCTGAATTGAACTTCTGGCATTGGGGAACGAGGGTCTTGGATAACGAGAATTTCCTGCAATAACAAGAGAATTGTGGTTGAGTTGTAGAAAATCCAAATTCCTCTCCAGCTGTGGAATTCCTCCTGGGTGACAAGGTGGGGATTGGCCAAAGCTTAGACTCGCTGCTCTTGGAGGTCTTTGGCAATTTATAAATTCTGGGAAAGCTGAAAGTTCAGAGTTCTGATGGTTTTTATGCCTCAGGTAGAAGACCAAGACTTGAGACAGTGACGAGCAAAGAAAAACTTGATTTGGAGGAGAACTGAATTTATGTAGGGATCGGAATATGGGAATGGGAATATGCTGACCTGGATTTCCTTCAGAAATCTCCCCATTCTGACTCTTTTCGACCTCTAATTTTCAACCTGTCGATTCCTTTGCCCAGCTCACTCCCGGCCGCTGCCCCGGCCCCGCTACAACGAGAGCTTCCACCACGACGGGCGCTTCCCTCACGCCAACTGCCAGCACCAGGACTGGAGTGAGGAGCCTGGGGAGGATTATCCTGGGGAGAACTACCCCGGGGAGGATTATCCTGGGGAGAACTACCCCGGGGAGGATTATCCTGGCGAGAACTACCCCGGGGAGGATTATCCTGGCGAGAACTACCCCGGGGAGGATTATCCTGGGGAGAACTACCCCGGGGAGAATTACCCCGGCCCTTCCTACAGAGCTGGCAGCCCCCTGCTCCGCAAGGAGAATTATTTCCACGGACAGTTCTCCCGCCCTGCGCCCCGGGAGCGGGAATTCGGCCGGGATTACGGGAAGTTTGGCCGTGCAGCCGCCCCCAGCAGGGAATACGGGCACCACGCTGCTCCCCAGGGCCGGGAGTACGGGCAGCAGCACCGGGAGTACGGCCAGCAGCGGGACAGGGACTACGGGCAGCAGCAGGATTACGGTCCCTCGGATTCCTGGGAAGCTGGCGGGCAGCAGGGAGCGGGGTTTGGCTCCTCGGAGGTTTTGGGGGATTTCAGGTCTCCCGGGCTGATGGAGGAGGAGTATGGCGGCGCGGAGGATCAGGAGTACGAGGCAGCGGACAGCGAGTTCCGGCCGCCGCTGCGCAGGGGAGGCGTGGGCAGGGGGAGAGTGCTGAGGGGAAAACGCCTCACCAGGGGCGTGGTGAAACCCAAGGTGTTCAAAGGAGACATCAAAAGCCCCCTGAAGAAGTGGGGTGTGAAGAAACCACAGCCGGGCCCGGATCCCAAAGCTCTGGATCAGCCTCTGGAAGTCGCCGACCGCGCCGAGCAGAGGCCGGTGCCCCTCCAGCAGCACCCCAAGCTGCCCCCTCACCCCCTGGCAGCTCAGAGAGCCATCCTGAGGCTGCCAAAGCCCGCCCACGTCTTCAGGAACCTCAACTTCGACCTGGTGGATAAATCTGACATTTTCTCCACCTTCGGCGTCGAGATCATCAAGTGGGCCGGGTTCCACGCCATCAAAAACGACGCCGAGTTCTCGCGGCTCTTCGGGGCCCTCTTCGAGCTGGAGACTGAGACCTGTGCCAAGATGTTGGCCTCCTTCAAGTGCTCCCTGAGGCCAGAGCACAGAGATTATTGCTTTTTCACCATCAAGAGCTTGCAGCACGCCGCCCTGAAAACCCCCAAGGTGGACAACGAGTTCTTGAACATGCTGCTGGACAAGGGGGCCGTGAAAACCAAGAATTGCTTCTTTGAGATCATCAAACCTTTTGATAAATACATCATGAGGCTCCAGGACCGGCTCCTCAAGGGGGTGACCCCGCTGCTGATGGCCTGCAACGCCTACGAGCTGAGCCTCAAAACCAACGGCTTTGGCAACCCCAGGGAAATGGCCAACGCCTTCGAGACCACCGTGTCCCTCTGCAGGAAATCCTTGGCCCTCCTGGGCCAGACCTTTGCTCTGGCCTCTGTTTTCAGGCAGGAGAAGATCCTGGAGGCCGTGGGGCTGCAGGAGATGGCCCCAGCACCGACGTCCTTCCCAAATTTCGATGATTCCACGCTCTTCGGGAGGGAGTACATCGAGAACCTGAAGGCTTGGCTGGAGAAGAGTGGCTATCCCATCCAGATGAAAAGAGCAGAGGCAGGAGGCACGGAGCAGCTCAAAGCAGCCTCCCCCGACCCCAAAGGTAACGGGGAGGGAGGTGCTCTGCACGATTTGTGTGGTTTGGTTTGGTCAGGAATTCCTGACTGCGGGAATTCCAGGTGAGTCCCACTCAGGGAGGGAATTCCAGGTGAATCCCACTCATGGATAGAATTCCAGGTGAATCCCAGTCAGGGCTGGAGCAGGGGGGGGATTCCAGGTGAATCCCACTCAGGGATGGAATTCAGGTGAATCCCACTCAGAACTGGAGCAGGAAGGGAATTCCAGGTGAATCCCACTCAGAACTGGAGCAGGAAGGGAATTCCAGGTGAATCCCAGTCAGAACTGGAGCAGGGAGGGAATTCCAGGTGAATCCCACTCAGGGAGGGAATTCCAGGTGAATCCCACTCAGGGAGGGAATTCCAGGTGAATCCCACTCAGGGAGGGAATTCCAGGTGAATCCCACTCAGGGAGGGAATTCCAGGTGAATCCCACTCAGGGAGGGAATTCCAGGTGAATCCCACTCAGGGAGGGAATTCCAGGTGAATCCCACTCAGGGAGGGAATTCCAGGTGAATCCCAATCAGGGAAGGGAATTCCAGGTGAATTCAAATCAGGGCTAGAGCAGGGAAGGAATTCCAGGTGAATCCCACTCAGGGCTGAAATTCCAGGTAAATCCCAGTCAGAACTGGAGCAGGGATGGAATTCCAGGTGAATCCAAATCAGGGATGGAATTCCAGGTAAATCCCACTCAGAACTGGAGCAGGAAGGGAATTCCAGGTGAATCCCACTCAGGGCTGGAATTCCAGGTGAATCCAAATCAGGGATGAAATTCCAGATGAATCCCACTCAGGTCTGGAATTCCAGGTGAATCCCACTCAGGGCTGGAATTCCAGGTGAATCCCAGTCAGAACTGGAGCAGGGATGGAATTCCAGGTGAATCCAAATCAGGGATGAAATTCCAGATGAATCCCACTCAGGTCTGGAATTCCAGGTGAATCCCACTCAGGGCTGGAATTCCAGGTGAATCCCAATCACAGATGGAATTTTGGCTGAATGTATATATTCACTATACATGTATTATATATTTATTTATTTATTTGGATTTTAATGGGATTTCTTTCTCCCCACAGCCCCCCAACGAGCTGACAGGAAGGTTCTGGACACAATTGAGCAGCTGGTGAGCAGCATCGTGGCAGGAACTTTGTCTGCCAAGGACAGGAATGCTCACAAGAACTCTCCTGAATACTGGTGGGTGTGTGGGAACTGGCTGGCAAATTTGGAGTAGATTAATTAAAACTTCAGCCTTTCACTCACTGGGAATGATCAAAGCCTGTTGTATATTTAATTAGGTTTTTTTTTTAGTGGGGGGGAATGTTTTGCTGGAGTTAATTATCCCCGGGAATGATCCTGTTGTTGCTTTTGATGTGCCAATAATGGCTCTCAAATTCAAGGTGTTCAAAGGAATTTGCATTTTAGGAGCAAATTCAGGTGATGGAGACATCCAGCAAGGTGCCAGGGTTTGGAATTCCAGGGAAAATGTGGGAAAGGGGGAGCTGAGACACCTCCAGTGTGTGAGTTGATTAATTCCTGTCAAACCCCTCCAGGATTTCATTCCTTGGTCCCAGAGAAACCTGCTCAGCCTCATGCTAAACACCTGGGAAAAACAAACAAACTGGAATGCTGAGGGGTTTTACTTGAAAAATGGGGATTTTCAGCAGATTTATCCTTTTTTTCCTGTGTTTCTCAGGTTCCTGTGTGACGAGGAGAGCCTGGAGTACAGATACCACAGTAAAAATGGAGATTTTTAGCTGATTTTCCCTTTTCCTGTGTTTCTCAGGTTCCTGTGTGACAAGAAGTACAGATATCACACTACAAAATGGAGATTTCCAGCTGATTTGAGATTTTTAGCTGATTTTCCCTTTTCCTGTGTTTCTCAGGTTCCTGTGTGACGAGGAGAGCCTGGAGTACAAATACTACAGGCTGAGGCTGTCCGAGGTGCAGAGGAGCAGCCTGGCAGGGGAGGCAGCAGCCCCAGAGTCCCTGCGGGCCATGCTCTATGCCAGGAGAGTTGCCAGCATCAAAAGGAGACTTTTCAAGCATAAAAAAAAACCTGTCCTTGTCCCTGGCCGTGCCAGGAGGGTGAGGAGGGCAAGCACGGGCACCCAGACCCTGCTGTCAGCTGGCACAGTGCTGAAACAGCCAGACAAAAATCCTCCAGGTGCCAAGGCTGGCCTGGCACAGCCTGGCCTGGGTGCCACCTCCTCTGCCCCACAAGGTGCCACCTCCTCTGCCCCACAAGGTGCCACCTCCTCTGCCCCACAAGGTGCCACCCCCTCAGCACCTCAAGGTGCCAGCTGAGCCCCTCAAGGTGCCAGCTGTGCTCCTCAAGGTGCCACCACCTCTGCCCCCCAAGGTGCCACCTTCTCAGCCCCCCAAGGTGTCACCACCTCAGTCCCCCAAGGTGCCACCTGTGCCCCCCAAGATGCCACCTGTGCCCCACAAGGTGCCACCTCCTCAGCCCCACAAGGTGTCACCACCTCAGTCCCCCAGGGTGCCACCTGTGCCCCCCAAGGTGCCACCTGTGCCCCCCAAGATGCCACCTGTGCCCCACAAGGTGCCAGCTGTGCCCCTCAAGGTGCCAGCTGTGCTCCTCAAGGTGCCACCACCTCTGCCCTCCAAGGTGCCACCTCCTCAGCCCCACAAGGTGTCACCACCTCAGTCCCCCAGGGTGCCACCTGTGCCCCCCAAGGTGCCACCTGCACCCCCCAAGATGCCACCTGTGCCCCCCAAGGTGCCACCTCCTCAGCCCTCCAAGGTGCCACCACCTCTGCCCTCCAAGGGGCCACCTCCTCAGCCCCAGAAGGTGCCAGCTGTGCCCCCCAGGGTGCCAGCTGTGCCCCCCAGGGTGCCAGCTGTGCCCCCCAAGGTGCCAGCTGCTGCCAGGTGCCCGGGGCAGCAGAGGGAGAAGCAGATCCTGAGTTTTTGGCAGCGGCTCCTGAGCTTCTCCCAGGCCTGGGCTCGCAGTTTGCTGATGGTGAGTGAGGGCTGGGGTGAGACTGGGGATTTAAATTGTGCAGGAAAACAAACAGGGGTTGGATTGGGAAATTTGAGTTATAGCAGGGGAAAGAAAATGGGGTTAGAGTGGGAATTTAAATTATAGCAGGGGAAAGAAAATGGGGTTAGATTGGGAATTTTGAGTTATAGCAGGGAAAAAAACTAACATGGGGTTAGATTGGGAATTTTGAATTATAGCAGGGGAAAGAAAATGGGGTTAGAGTGGGAATGTTAAATTATAGCAGGGAAAACTAACGGGTTAGATTGGGAATTTTAAATTATAGCAGGGGAAAGAAAATGGGGTTAGAGTGGGAATTTTGAGTTTTAGCAGGAAAACAAACAGGGGTTAGATTAGGAATGTTAAATTATAACAGGGAAAAAACTAACATGGGGTTAGATTGGGAATTTAAATTATAGCAGGGGAAAGAAAATGGGGTTAGAGTAGGAATTTTGAATTATAGCAGGAAAACAAACAGGAGTTAGATTGGGAATTGTGAATTTTAGCAGGAAAACAAACAGGGGTTAGATTAGGAATTTTAAATTGTGTCCAGGAAAAAACCCAGACTTCTCCTGCAATTCACAAAAGTTCCTGCTGAAAGAAAATGGGGTTAGAGTGGGAATTTTGAGTTTTAGCAGGAAAACAAACAGGGGTTAGATTAGGAATGTTAAATTATAACAGGGAAAAAACTAACATGGGGTTAGATTGGGAATTTAAATTATAGCAGGGGAAAGAAAATGGGGTTAGAGTAGGAATTTTGAATTATAGCAGGAAAACAAACAGGAATTAGATTGGGAATTGTGAATTTTAGCAGGAAAACAAACAGGGGTTAGATTAGGAATTTTAAATTATAGCAGGGGAAAGAAAATGGGGTTAGATTGGGAATTTTGAATTATAGCAGGAAAACAAACAGGGCTTAGATTAAGAATATTAAATTTTAGCAGGGAAAACTAACATGGGGTCAGATTGGGAATTTAAATTATAGCAGGGAAACAAACAGGGGTTAGATTGGGAATAACAAATGGGTTAGAGTAGGAATTTTGAATTATAGCAGGAAAACAAGCAGGAGTTAGGATGGGAATGTTAAATTGTGTCCAGAAAAAGCAAACAGGTTATATTGGTATTTTAAATTACAGCAGGGAAAACAAACAGGGGTTAGATTTGGAATTTTAAATTGTGTCCAGGAAAAAACCCAGACTTCTCCTGCAATTCACAAAAGTTCCTGCTGGAAACCCCAAATATAATTTCTTTTATATTGTATTTATACAGTTCTCACCTGCAGTGGTTTGGGGTTTGATTTGGGATTTTAAATTATAGCAGAGAAAACAAACAGGGTTAGAATGGAAATGATAAATTGTGTCCAGAAAAAAACCCCAAACTTCTCCTGCAATCCACAAAAAGAATTCCTGCTGGAAACCCCAACCCCCATTTCTTGAACTGTGAATTTTGAAGTTCTCAGCTGCCCTGAGCTTTTTTACCAGAACCTTCTGTTCCTTGCAGTGGATGCCAAAACCATGGAAACTGCAGAGAAACTGGCCAGGTTTGTGGCTCAGGTAGGACCAGAAATTGAGCAGTTCAGCATTGACAACAGTGCAGATAACCCCGACCTCTGGTGAGTGCCAGCTCCTCCCATTTCTGCTCAAATCTGCATTTAGGGATTTTAGGATCAGGGGGTTTTGGGGCCATTCTCCAGCACTTGCATTAATGGTGAATATCTGAAATATCTCAGGGGAAAAAAAAACATTTATGGATAAATGTCTTGATTTCTGATCATCAACTTGATTTATTTTTGAGCCTAATCACCAAGCTGAACCCTGAAACTGGGAATTTTCAAAATTATTCCAATTAATTCATTAATTCTTCCCACTGAATTCTTTAATTCTTCTCAATGAATTCATGAATTCTTCCCAATTAATTCTTCCCATTGAGTTCATTAATTCTTCCCACTGAATTCTTTAATTCTTCTCAATGAATTCATGAATTCTTCCCAATTAATTCTTCCCATTGAGTTCATTAATTCTTCCCAATGAATTCATTAATTCTTCCCAATTAATTCTTCCCAGAAGAATTTGGGAAATGCTGCTGAACTGGAGGGGAAATTGCTGTTTTTAGGAAGGGAATCTCCCATTTCTCCCCAAAATCACCTGCCCTGGCCACTCCATAAATCAACCAGAGATTTATTCCTAAATTCTTACATCATTCCAGCTGAAGAAAATCTCTTTTTCACCTTAATTTCCCCTGGACTTTTGACCTTATTTCCCCTGCATTTTTTGCCTCACCTGACCTGAATTTTGGACCTTGTTTTCCCTGGATTTTTCACCTTGTTTTCCCTGGATTTTTCACCTTATTTCTCTGGCTTTTTGACCTTATTTCCCTGGATTTTGGACCATATTTTCCCTTGGATTTTTGCCTTATCTTCCCTGGATTTTTCACCTTGTTTCCCCTGGATTTTTCACCTTGTTTCCGCTGGACTTTTGACCTTGTTTTCCTTGAATTTTTGACGTTATTCCCCTGCATTTTTGACCCTATTCCCCTGCATTTTTGACCTTATCTTCCCTGCATTTTAGACTTCATTTCCCTGGATTTTTGATGATATTTTCCCCTGGACTTTTGACCTAATTTCCCCTGCATTTTTACCCTTATCTTCCCTGGATTTTTGATATTGTTTCTCTGGCTTTTTGACCTTGTTTCCCCTGGATTTTTGACCATATTTTCCCCTGGACTTTTCCCCTTATTTCCCCTGCATTTTCCCCCTTTTCCCCCCTCATTTTTATTCCTCATTTCCCATTCCCTCACCCCAGGTTCCTCCAGGACCAAACCAGCCCTGCCTTCAAATTCTACCGCATGAAAGTCTTGGAGCTGTGCCCCTCCATCACCTTCAGCCCCGAGGCTGCAGAAGCTGCCAGAGCTGCAGGGACAACCCTGGACATGGAGGAGGACGAGGAGGAAGAGGAGGAAGAAGAAGAAGAAGAGGAAGAAGAAGAAGAAGCTGAGTTTGAACCCTCCCAACCTGATGAGGAGGATGAGGAGGATGAGGAGGACGTGGCAGCAGGTAGAAGGGTGACAAAGCTAGAGGAAGATTTGGTGTCCAGAGCAGGAGAGGAGATGTCAGGAGGTGAAGTGCAGCTCTCCAGCCCCTCTGACGGCGCTGTCCCAAATCTGTCGACACAGGCACCCGGCCCGGGCCCCGGCGCGCGCTTCCCCCGCAAACGGGTCAGCTCCAAGTCCCTGAGGGTGGGCCTGATCCCGGCCCCCAAAAGGATCTGCCTCATCCAGGAGCCCAAAGGTGGGTAACCATCAAAATGGTTCAGGTTTTTTGTAAAATAGAGGAGAATTTTGGAGAAAAATTACATTTTTTGGGTGTTGTCACTTCAAAAAATGGCCTCTCTTTAATGCAAAGGGGTCAGCTCCAAGTCCCTGAGGGTGGGCCTGATCCCGGCCCCCAAAAGGATCTGCCTCATCCAGGAGCCCAAAGGGCAGTGGGCACTGAAAGGGTTAAATTCTGTATAGGAAAAAAAGGTATCTGGGCAAAAATCCCCATTTTTTAGGTGTTGTTGCTTCTGCAGATTGCTTCTCTTTAATGCAAAGGGGTCAGCTCCAAGTCCCTGAGGGAGGGACTGATCCCGGCCCACAAAAGGATCTGCCTCATCCAGGAGCCAAAATGTCAGTGGGCATTGAAATAGTTCTCTTTTATTGTAAAATAGAGGAGAATTTGGGAAAAAAATCCCTTTTTTTAGGTGATGTTTTTTAAAAAATGGCATTTCTTTAATGCAAAGTTCAGCTCCAAGTCCCTGAGGGTGGGCCTGATCCCGGCCCCCAAAAGGATCTGCCTCATCCAGGAGCCCAAAGGTGGGTGGCCATTAAAAATTATTACATTTTATATAGAAATAAATGAGAATTTGGGAGAAAATCCCACTTTTTTAACATGTTGCTTAAAAACCATCATTTCTCCAAGACAAAGTTCAGCTCCAAGTCCCTGAGGGTGGGCCTGATCCCGGCCCCCAAAGGATCGGCCTCATCCAGGAGCCAAAAGGTCAGTGGGCACTGAAAGGGTTAAATTGTGTATAGAAAAAAGGGGAAAGTGGGCACTGAAAGGGTTAAATTGTGTATAGAAAAAAAGGGAATTTTGTCAAAAATCCCCAATTTTTTGGGTGTTGTTCTATTAAAAATTGCATTTCATGGTACAAAAATGAGCATAGAATTGACTTGAAATCTTCATGAAATCTTCATGAAAGGCTAGAACAGCCCAAAGGTCAGTGAGCATCGAAATATTTCAATTTTATACTGAAATAAAAGAGGATTTGGGCAAAAATCCTGATTTTTTGAGGTATTTTGTCACTTAATCACATTTCTTTACACAAAACTCAGCTCCAACTCAGCTTGATCACAAAATTCCCTTTAAATCTTCATTAAAGTGGCAGAGGATAGAAGAGCCCAAAGATCAGTGGCCATCAAAATATTTCAGAAGAGAATTTGGGTAAAAATCTGAATTTTTTAGGTGTTTTCTTGCTGGTTGTTCCCCTGGACTTTTGACCTAATTTCCCCTGCATTTTTACCCTTATCTTCCCTGGATTTTTGATATTGTTTCTCTGGCTTTTTGACCTTGTTTCCCCTGGATTTTTGACCATATTTTCCCCTGGACTTTTCCCCTTATTTCCCCTGCATTTTCCCCCTTTTCCCCCCTCATTTTTATTCCTCATTTCCCATTCCCTCACCCCAGGTTCCTCCAGGACCAAACCAGCCCTGCCTTCAAATTCTACCGCATGAAAGTCTTGGAGCTGTGCCCCTCCATCACCTTCAGCCCCGAGGCTGCAGAAGCTGCCAGAGCTGCAGGGACAACCCTGGACATGGAGGAGGACGAGGAGGAAGAGGAGGAAGAAGAAGAAGAAGAGGAAGAAGAAGAAGAAGCTGAGTTTGAACCCTCCCAACCTGATGAGGAGGATGAGGAGGATGAGGAGGACGTGGCAGCAGGTAGAAGGGTGACAAAGCTAGAGGAAGATTTGGTGTCCAGAGCAGGAGAGGAGATGTCAGGAGGTGAAGTGCAGCTCTCCAGCCCCTCTGACGGCGCTGTCCCAAATCTGTCGACACAGGCACCCGGCCCGGGCCCCGGCGCGCGCTTCCCCCGCAAACGGGTCAGCTCCAAGTCCCTGAGGGTGGGCCTGATCCCGGCCCCCAAAAGGATCTGCCTCATCCAGGAGCCAAAAGGTCAGTGGCCATCTAAATGGTTCCGTTTTGTGTGGAAAAAAAAGGAATCTGGGCAAAAATCCCCATTTTTTAGGTGTTGTCGCTTCAAAAAATGGCCTCTCTTTAATGCAAAGGGGTCAGCTCCAAGTCCCTGAGGGTGGGCCTGATCCCGGCCCCCAAAGGATCGGCCTCATCCAGGAGCCAAAAGGTCAGTGGCCATCTAAATGGTTCCGTTTTGTGTGGAAAAAAAAGGAATCTGGGCAAAAATCCCCATTTTTTAGGTGTTGTCACTTCAAAAAATGGCTTCTCTTTAATGCAAAGGGGTCAGCTCCAAGTCCCTGAGGGAGGGACTGATCCCGGCCCACAAAAGGATCTGCCTCATCCAGGAGCCAAAATGTCAGTGGGCATTGAAATAGTTCTCTTTTATTGTAAAATAGAGGAGAATTTGGGAAAAAAAATCCCTTTTTTTAGGTGATGTTTTTTAAAAAATGGCATTTCTTTAATGCAAAGTTCAGCTCCAAGTCCCTGAGGGTGGGCCTGATCCCGGCCCCCAAAAGGATCTGCCTCATCCAGGAGCCCAAAGGTGGGTGGCCATTAAAAATTATTACATTTTATATAGAAATAAATGAGAATTTGGGAGAAAAATCCCACTTTTTTTACATGTTGTTGCTTAAAAAACATAATTTCTCCAAGATGAAGTTCAGCTCCAAGTCCCTGAGGGAGGGCCTGATCCTGGCCCCCAAAGGATCGGCCTCATCCAGGAGCCAAAAGGTCAGTGGGCACTGAAAGGGTTAAATTGTGTATAGAAAAAAGGGGAATTTGGTCAAAAATCCCAATTTTTTGGGTGTTGTTCCATTAAAAATTGCATTTTTTGGTACAAAAATGAGCACCAGGAGCCCAAAGGTCAGTGGGCACTGAAAGGGTTAAATTGTGTATAGAAAAAAAGGGAATTTTGTCAAAAATCCCCAATTTTTTGGGTGTTGTTCTATTAAAAATTGCATTTCATGGTACAAAAATGAGCATAGAATTGACTTGAAATCTTCATGAAATCTTCATGAAAGGCTAGAACAGCCCAAAGGTCAGTGAGCATCGAAATATTTCAATTTTATACTGAAATAAAAGAGGATTTGGGCAAAAATCCTGATTTTTTGAGGTATTTTGTCACTTAATCACATTTCTTTACACAAAACTCAGCTCCAACTCAGCTTGAACACAAAATTCACTGGCCCCAAAAGGATCTGAGAATTGACTTGAAATCTTCATGAAATCTTCATGAAAGGCTAGAACAGCCCAAAGGTCAGTGAGCATCGAAATATTTCAATTTTATACTGAAATAAAAGAGGATTTGGGCAAAAATCCTGATTTTTTGAGGTATTTTGTCACTTAATCACATTTCTTTACACAAAACTCAGCTCCAAGTCTCTGAAAGTTGGGATGATCCTGGCCCCAAAAGGATCTGAGCTCAAAGGTGGGTGGACATTGAAATATTTCACTTTTATATTAAAATAGAAGAGAATTTGGGCAAAAATCCTGATATTTTAGGTGATTTTCCATAAAAAATTGCATTTTTTGGCACAAAAATGAGCACAAAATTCCCTTTAAATCTTCATTAAAGTGGCAGAGGATAGAAGAGCCCAAAGATCAGTGGCCATCAAAATATTTCAGAAGAGAATTTGGGTAAAAATCTGAATTTTTTAGGTGTTTTCTTGCTGGTTGTTGCTTAAAAAAATCACATTTTTTCCTACAAAAATGAACAGAAAATTCACTTTAAAAAGAGAAGCTGAAGAAATAATTTCTTATGGGCCAATATATTTCTATTAAATTGAGTATATATTGAATTTTTTCATGAATTCTGGTCTTTTTCGTTGCTCTAATTTTTCTTATTGCTTCTGTTTTAGGTCCAGGCTTGAAATGCAAATTTTTGGAAGATTTTTTGCTGTGGTTTGGAGGTTTTTTATTAAATAATTTGATTTTCCAGCTGAATTTTGTGGGTTTTTTGCCTTGCAGTGCATGAACCTGTCAGGATTGCTTATGACAGACCCCGGGGCTGCCCTGTCACAAAGAAAAAAAAGGTAAAAAATTCACATTTCTGCCACAAAATCCAACCAAATATGAGAAATGGTTTGGGAAAAACAAATCTGGAAAGAAGGAAATTAATTTTGAAAAATTTATTGAAAAATTCCTTTTAAAGAAGGAAATTACTGTGAGGAAATTAATTTAAAAATTCCTTTAAAAGATGGGAAATTCCTTTAAAAATCCTTTAAAATAAGGGGAATTCTTTTAAAAAATCCTTTAAAATATGGAAAATTCCTTTAAAAATTCCTTTTAAAGGAGGGAAATTCCTTTAAAAAATCCTTTAAGGGTAGAAAATTCCTTTTAAAAAATCCTCAAAAGGATCTGCCTCATCCAGGAGCCAAAATGTCAGTGGGCATTGAAATAGTTCTCTTTTATTGTAAAATAGAGGAGAATTTGGGAAAAAAATCCCTTTTTTTAGGTGATGTTTTTTAAAAAATGGCATTTCTTTAATGCAAAGTTCAGCTCCAAGTCCCTGAGGGTGGGCCTGATCCCGGCCCCCAAAAGGATCTGCCTCATCCAGGAGCCCAAAGGTGGGTGGCCATTAAAAATTATTACATTTTATATAGAAATAAATGAGAATTTGGGAGAAAATCCCACTTTTTTAACATGTTGCTTAAAAACCATCATTTCTCCAAGACAAAGTTCAGCTCCAAGTCCCTGAGGGTGGGCCTGATCCCGGCCCCCAAAGGATCGGCCTCATCCAGGAGCCCAAAGGTCAGTGGGCACTGAAAGGGTTAAATTGTGTATAGAAAAAAAGGGAATTTTGTCAAAAATCCCCAATTTTTTGGGTGTTGTTCTATTAAAAATTGCATTTCATGGTACAAAAATGAGCATAGAATTGACTTGAAATCTTCATGAAATCTTCATGAAAGGCTAGAACAGCCCAAAGGTCAGTGAGCATCGAAATATTTCAATTTTATACTGAAATAAAAGAGGATTTGGGCAAAAATCCTGATTTTTTGAGGTATTTTGTCACTTAATCACATTTCTTTACACAAAACTCAGCTCCAAGTCTCTGAAAGTTGGGATGATCCTGGCCCCAAAAGGATCTGAGCTCAAAGGTGGGTGGACATTGAAATATTTCACTTTTATATTAAAATAGAAGAGAATTTGGGCAAAAATCCTGATATTTTAGGTGATTTTCCATAAAAAATTGCATTTTTTGGCACAAAAATGAGCACAAAATTCCCTTTAAATCTTCATTAAAGTGGCAGAGGATAGAAGAGCCCAAAGATCAGTGGCCATCAAAATATTTCAGAAGAGAATTTGGGTAAAAATCTGAATTTTTTAGGTGTTTTCTTGCTGGTTGTTGCTTAAAAAAATCACATTTTTTCCTACAGAAATGAACAGAAAATTCACTTTAAAAAGAGAAGGTGAAGAAATCATTTGTTATGGGCTAATATATTTCTATTAAATTGAGTATATATTGAATTTTTTCATGAATTCTGGTCTTTTTCGTTGCTCTAATTTTTCTTATTGCTTCTGTTTTAGGTCCAGGCTTGAAATGCAAATTTTTGGAAGATTTTTTGCTGTGGTTTGGAGGTTTTTTATTAAATAATTTGATTTTCCAGCTGAATTTTGTGGGTTTTTTGCCTTGCAGTGCATGAACCTGTCAGGATTGCTTATGACAGACCCCGGGGCTGCCCTGTCACAAAGAAAAAAAAGGTAAAAAATTCACATTTCTGCCACAAAATCCAACCAAATATGAGAAATGGTTTGGGAAAAACAAATCTGGAAAGAAGGAAATTAATTTTGAAAAATTTATTGAAAAATTCCTTTTAAAGAAGGAAATTACTGTGAGGAAATTAATTTAAAAATTCCTTTAAAAGATGGGAAATTCCTTTAAAAATCCTTTAAAATAAGGGGAATTCTTTTAAAAAATCCTTTAAAATATGGAAAATTCCTTTAAAAATTCCTTTTAAAGGAGGGAAATTCCTTTAAAAAATCCTTTAAGGGTAGAAAATTCCTTTTAAAAAATCCTTTAAAAAATCCTTTTAAATGAAGGAAAATGCCTTTAAAATCTCGTTTAAAAGAGGGAAATTCCATTGAAAAAATTCAATTTACACCAGTCTGGATGGAAATTTCACCCATTTCTCCAACCCCTGTCTGGCCTTAATAAATTTTAAATTTTTTTAAAATATTTTCCCTTTTTTCCAATTTTTTGGCAGAAGCCCAGGGCTGTGGAGGTGCCCCAGAAGAGGCTGAGCCCCAGGAACTTAAAATCCTTTAAAAGAGGAAATTCCTTTAAAAATGCCCTTTTAAAGAGGGGAAATTCCTTTTAAAAAATTCCTTTAAGGGTAGAAAATTCCTTTTAAAAAATCCTTTAAAAAATCCTTTTAATAGGGAGATTTTAGGGGGGCAAAATAGGGGATTTATGGGGAATTTATTGGGGAAAATTGGGGGATTTATGGGAGGATTTATGCGGGATTTATGGGGGAAAATAGGGGATTTATGGGGGGGAAATAGGGGATTTATAGGGGGTTTTATGGGGGTGGAAATAGGGGATTTATGGGGGAAAAAAGGGGGGGTTGTGGGGGATTTATGGGGAAAAATAGGGGATTTATGGGGGATTTGTTAGGGAAAATTAGGGAATTTAATGGGGGATTTATGGGGGGAAAAGGAGATTTATGGGGAGAAATAGGGGATTTATGGGGGAAAATGGGGGATTTATGGGGGGTTTATAGGGGGAAAAAAAGGGGGATTTATGGGGCATTTATTGGGGAAAATAGGGGGGTTATAGGGGGATTAATGGGGAAAAAAAAGGGGTTTTAGTGGGGGCAATAGAGGTTTTAGTATGGGAAAACAGAAGTTTTTAATGGGGGAAATTCATGTTTTTAATGGGGAAAATTCATGTTTTAATGGGGGAAATTCATGTTTTTAATAGGGGAAAAAAGAGATTTAATATGAGAAATTCCCTAAATGTCCCCAAAATTCCCTTTTACCCAGAATTCTTTGCCATTCCCTGCTCCCTCCTCAAATCCTCTGCACCTGAATTCCTGAAATCCCAAAATCAAGATTTTTTTGGGGGCATTTTTCCACCAGAAAACCTAAACTTCAAATTTATTCCACAATTCCCTCTCCCACCTGATTTTTTTTTTTTCCCACAAAATCCAATTTTTCAACTGGGAATTCACCTTCTAATGAGAATTGAGGGACAAAATTCCAAATAATTCCAAATAATTCCAAATAATTCCAAATAATTGGCTTCACCAAGCACCAAATGATGCAAAATTGGTTGGAAAAAATCCGATTTTTTGGGTTTTAATTGTGAAATTTTCTTCCCCAGGGGTGCAACCTCTGCTGGGGAGGGTTTGGGAGTGGCAGGGGAAGAAAACCAAGAAGATGCTTTTGACATTTTCCGCCAGAGGATGATCCAGATGTACCGACAGAAAAGGGCAAACAAATAGGTGAGTGCCAAAATCCGCCTGGAAAATTCCATTTCACGCCAAAATTCTTCCTCTTCCTGCAGTGCTGGGGGAGTTTTGTGGCTTGAGGTGCCCTGGAGGTGCTGAGCCACCCTAAAATTTTAATTTTTCCAAATTTTTCTGATTTCTGAGATTCTGGAGGTGCTGAGCCACCCTAAAATTTTAATTTTTCCAAATTTTTCTGATTTCTGAGATTCTGGAGGTGCTGAGCCACCCTAAAATTTTAATTTTTCCAAATTTTTCTGATTTCTGAGATTCTGGAGGTGCTGAGCCACCCTAAAATTTTAATTTTTCCAAATTTTTCTGATTTCTGAGATTCTGGAGGTGCTGAGCCACCCTAAAATTTTAATTTTTCCAAATTTTTCTGATTTCTGAGATTCTGGAGGTGCTGAGCCACCCTAAAATTTTAATTTTTCCAAATTTTTCTGATTTCTGAGATTCTGGAGGTGCTGAGCCACCCTAAAATTTTAATTTTTCCAAATTTTTCTGATTTCTGAGATTCTGGAGGCGCTGAGCCACCCTAAAATTTTAATTTTTCCAAATTTTTCTGATTTCTGAGATTCTGGAGGTGCTGAGTGACCCCAAAATCTTCATTTGTTGAAGTTTTTCAGATTTCTGAGAATCTCTCTTTTCTCTTTCTTTTCTTTCTTTTTTCTCTCTATTTTTCCCCTTTCTCCCCTCTTTTTTCTTTTTTCTCTCTCTTTTCCCCTCTTTTTTCCCTTTTCCTCTTTTTTTCCTCTTTTTTTCCTCTTTTTTTCCTCTTTTTTTCCTCTTTTTTTCCTCTTTTTTTTTCCTCTTTTTTTTCCTCTTTTTTTCCCTCTTTTTTCCCCTTTTTTTTCTTTTTTCTCTTTTTTCTCTTTTTTCTCTCTCTTTTCTTTTTCCCCTCTTTTTCCCCTCTTTTTCCTCTCTTTTTCCTCTCCTTTTCCTCTCTTTTTCCCCTCTTTTTTCCCCTCTTTTTCCTCTCTTTTTCCCCTCCTTTTCCTCTCTTTTTTCTCTCTTTTTCCTCTATTTTTTCTCTCTTTTTCCTCTCTTTTTCCCCTCTTTTTCCCCTCTTTTTTCTCTCATTCCAGCTCCAGGCTCTCTTCCATGAAGACCCCAGGGCCCCTCCCCTCCCTCCCGCACTCTCTCTGCTGGATTTGGTCGGATTTCCCTGGAACTCATCCCAAACTCTGGATTTTCCCTGGAATTCCACCCCAAAATTCAGATTTTCCCAGGGATCCAACCCAAACTCTGGATTTACCCTGGAATTCCACCCCAAACTCTGGAATTCCACCCCAAATGCTGAATTTTCCATCCCAAACTCTGGATTTTCCATCCCAAATTCTGGATTTCCCCTGGAATTCCACCCCAAATTCGGGATTTTCCCTGGAATTCCACCCCAAATTCTGGATTTTCCATCTCAAATTCCGGATTTTCCACCCCAAGCTCTGGATTTCCCCTGGAATTCCACCCCAAATTTCAGATTTTCCCTGGGATCCACTCCAAACTCTGGATTTTCCACCCCAAATTCTGGATTTTCCACCCCAAATTCCATATTTTCCCTGGAATTCCACTCCAGGTTCTGGATTTCCCATGGAATTCCACCCCAAATTCTGGAATTCCACCCCAAATTCCGGATTTTCCACCCCAGGTTCTGGATTTCCCCTGGAATTCCACCCCAAATTCCAGAATTCCACCCCAAATTCTGGATTTCCCATCCCAAATTCTGGATTTTCCCTGGAATTCCACTCCAAATTCTGGATTTTCCACTTCAAATTCTGGATTTTCCACTTCAAATTCTGGATTTTCCACCCCAGGTTCTGGATTTCCCTGGAATTCCACCCCAAATTCTGGAATTCCACCCCAAATTCTGGAATTCCACCCCAAATTCTGGATTTCCCATCCCAAATTCTGGATTTCCCCTGGAATTCCACCCCAAATTCTGGAATTCCACCCCAAATTCCGGAATTCCACCCCAAATTCCGGATTTCCCATCCCAAATTCTGGATTTCCCCTGGAATTCCACCCCAAATTCCCTCCTTTCCGTGCAGCTTTCCATCCCAGGAGAGGGAAAATGAAGATTTTCCCCCATTTTGGTGTCAGTAACACTTTGGTAGAAATGTTCAATAAACGTAGAGCTGGACATTTCCTGCTGCCTGTGATGTTTAATTTGGATTTTTCCTCGTGACTTTGGCCCTTTGGAGGAGATATGCATTTTTATTTTAATTAAATCCAATTTTTTTTGCTGGAATTTGGAATTCCTCTGGGTGCAGAGCAGGATTTTGGGGTCAAAATCCATTTTTGGGATGGGATTCCTCACCAAAAACTGGAATTAATTCTTTCCCAAAAAATCAATATACAACTTTTTTTTTTTTTTTTTTTTTCTTGACCTCCCACTCCAAACTTTTATTTTGCCCAAACAAAGCCTGGCCTCAAAAATCCAAATATTCTCCTTTTGGCTTCTTCCTACCCTAATTAAAGCAAAATTAAAATTTAATTTTCATTTTTAATCCTGCATATCTCACAGCTGAGTGGCCAAGCACAACCTGAGGTGGGTTTGAGCAATAAAACACCTGAAAAATCAGAGTAAAACACCTGAAAAATCAGAGTAAAACACCTGAAAAATCAGAATAAAACACCTGAAAAATCAGAGTAAAACACCTGAAAAATCAGAGTAAAACACCTGAAAAATCAGAGTAAAACACCTGAAAAATCAGAATAAAACACCTGAAAAATCAGAATAAAACACCTGAAAAATCAGAATATGCTGGAACCACCATGGGGTTTTTCTGGAATAAATCCAATTTTGGGGTTTTTGGTGACCTGGGTTCAGTTTGGGGCTGGGACTGGTGGAGTTCTCTGTGCCAATAAAATTCTGGTGTTGGAATTTCGGTGTTTGGGGTTTTGGTGTTTGGGATTTTGGGATTTGGAATTTTGGGGTTTGGGATTTTGGGGTCTGGGATTTGGAATTTTGGGATTTGGGATTTTGGGCTTTGGGATTTGGAATTTTGGGCTTTGGGATTTTGGGGTCTGGGATTTGGAATTTTGGGGTTTGGGACTTTAGGGGTTGGGGTTTGGGATTTTGGTGTTTGGGATTTTGGAGCTTTGGGGTTTGGGATTTGGGATTTTTGGGGGTTGGCTTTAGGGATTTTTGGGGTTTAGGATTTTGGGGTTGGGATTTTGGTGTTGGGATTTTGGTGTTGGAATTTTGGGGTTGGGATTTTGGAGTTTTGGGCTTTGGATTTTGGTATTTGGGGTTTGGGATTTTGGTGTTTGGGATTTTGGAGCTTTGGGGTTTGGGATTTGGGATTTTTGGGGGTTGGCTTTAGGGATTTTTGGGGTTTAGGATTTTGGGGTTGGGATTTTGGTGTTGGGATTTTTGGGGTTTGGGGTTTGGGATCGGGTTTTGGGGTCATTCTCCATGGGGGATTCTGGAATGGGATTTGGGGTGTGGTATTGGGATGAGATTCCGGATTTGGGATCAGGATTGGCGTTGGGATTGGGGATTTGGTATTTGGGATCAGGATTTAGGATTTGGGAAGTGGATTTGGGGTTTGGGATCAGGACTTGGCATTGGCATCGGGGATTTGGGATTTGGGATCAGGGATTTGGGATTGGCATCGGGGATTTGGGATTGGGGATTTGGTGTTTGGGATTGGGATTTGGAATTTTGGGCTTTGGGATTTTGGGGTCTGGGATTTGGAATTTTGGGGTTTGGGATTTTGGGGTCTGGGATTTGGAATTTTGGGATTTGGGATTTTGGGCTTTGGGATTTGGAATTTTGGGCTTTGGGATTTTGGGGTCTGGGATTTGGAATTTTGGGGTTTGGGACTTTAGGGGTTGGGGTTTGGGATTTTGGTGTTTGGGATTTTGGAGCTTTGGGGTTTGGGATTTGGGATTTTTGGGGGTTGGCTTTAGGGATTTTTGGGGTTTAGGATTTTGGGGTTGGGATTTTGGTGTTGGGATTTTGGTGTTGGAATTTTGGGGTTGGGATTTTGGAGTTTTGGGCTTTGGATTTTGGTATTTGGGGTTTGGGATTTTGGTGTTTGGGATTTTGGAGCTTTGGGGTTTGGGATTTTTGGGGTTTAGGATTTTGGGGTTTGGAAGTTTGGGGTTGGGATTTTGGTGTTGGAATTTTGGTGTTGGGATTTTGGTGTTGGGATTTTGGAGTTTTGGGCTTTGGATTTTGGTGTTTGGGGTTTGGGATTTGGGGTTTGCTGTTTGGGGTTTCAGGGTTTGGGGTTTCCTGCGGTCCTGTGGGGTCAGGGAGGGTTGGGGTGGGAGGGACCTCAAATCCCATCTGGGGACACCTTGGGGACAGTCCTGGGACACTCTGGGGACACTTTCTGCCATCCCAAGTGGCTCCAGCCGTGTCCCTGTCCCTGCCTGCTGTCCCCATCCCTGTCCCCATCCTGTCCCCTGTCCCTGTCTGGGGTGGGAGGGACCTCAAATCCCATCTGGGGACACCTTGGGGACAGTCCTGGGACACTCTGGGGACACTCTGGGGACACTTTCTGCCATCCCAAGTGGCTCCAGCCGTGTCCCCATCCCTGTCCCCATCCCTGTCCCTTTCCTGTCCCCTGTCCCTCCCCAGCAATGACAGAAGCACTCCCTACAGCCCTTGTCCCTGTCCCCTCTGTCCCCATCTCTTTCCTGTCCCCATGTCCCCTGTCTCTGTCCCCCTGTCCCTCCCCAGCAGTGTCAAAGGGACTCCCTGCAGCCCCTGTCCCTTCCCTGTCCCCTCTGTCCCTGTGTCCTCTGTTCCCAATGCCAAGGAGACTCACTGCAGTCCCTGTCCCCTCTGTCCCTGTCCCCTCTGTCCCCATCCCTGTCCCCTCTGTCCCTGCCCCTTTCCTGTCCCTCTGTCCCCATCCCTGTCCCCTCTGTCCCCTCCCTGCAGCCCCATCCCCCCAAGTAGGGCAGAGCCCTCCTGCCCCGCCCCCCAGAGCTCTCATTAATTACCTGCCCCAATTAAACCGGGCTAATTGCCCGGGGAGGGGGGAGGATCTGCTGCGATCGGGGCTGGAGGAAATTCCAAATATTGCCTTGGAAATTACCAACATTTTATGTAAAACTTCTGGGGAAATTTCTTTGGAGAGGCTAAAAAAAGGGGAAAGGAGGAAAAAAAAATTGGGGGAAATGGATCTGGAACCTCCGGGCCGTGAGGAATAATTTAAAAATAATAATTGAAATCATTTAAAAATCATTTCAGTTCCCTGTAAAACCGGGATTGCAGCGGCCTCAGGGGCACAGGGAGGCTTTAATGAACTGCTTTAAACAGAAAATTGAAGGTGAATTTGGGGTATTTTTAGTGCTGAAGGATGAATTTCTGTCCTTGGGAACACAAAAGTGGCTCAGGGGCCGTTTGGGAGAGGAATTTTGAGCAGGTGTGGGGAAAAAAAGGGAATTTTGGGGATACAAGCAGCGGCTGGTGACAGATTTTGGGGTTTATTGGAGGTTTTGTGCTCTAGGAGGAGATGGGGGATCCCTGCAGGAGTTTAAATTCCAGTGGTTCACATTTAAACACTGAAATTTTAACATTTAAATACTAAAGTGCTGAAATAACACTAAACTACTAAAGCACCAAACACTGTTTCTGGTCAGCAGCAGCAGCGTTCCGCTCAGAAGTGACAAAATAACAGAGGTGACAGGAAATCTGCCAGAAAGGGAGAGCTGGTGTGTGCTTTGGGCATCCCTGGGAGGGGACAGGGACAGGGACTGGGACGGGGATGGGGACAGGGACAGGGACTGGGACAGGGACTGGGACAGGGATGGGGATGGGGACAGGGACACAGGGGACAGGGATGGGGACAGGGACAAGGGATACAGGGGACAGGGACACAGGGGACAGGGACACAGGGGACAGGGATGGGGATGGGGACAGGGATGGGGACAAGGGACAGGGACACAGGGGACAGGGACTGGGACAGGGATAGGGACAGGGACAAGGGACACAGGTAACAGGGGCACAGGGGACAGGGATTGGGACAGGGATGGGGATGGGGACAGGGACAGGGACACAGGGGACAGGGACTGGGACAGGGATGGGGACAGGGACAAGGACAGGGGACAAGGATGGGGACAAGGGACAGGGATGGGGACACAGGAGAGGGGGACAGGGACAAGGGACAGAGATGGGGATGGAGACAGGGATGGGGACGGGGACAGGGACAAGGACAGGGATGGGGATGGGGACAGGGGACAGGGATGGGGACACAGGGGACAGGGACAAGGACAGGGATGGGGACAGGGATGAGGACAGGGACAGGGATGGGACGCTGGGGGACAGAGGTGACACCTGGCACAAGGAAAACAGTGCAGGACGGGGAGGAGAGGAAAGGCTGAGTGTGGGCAGGGGGGTTTCACACCCGGGTTAGGGATGGGGACAGGGACAAGGACAGGGGACAAGGATGGGGACAAGGATGGGGACAAGGGATGGGGACAAGGGACAGGGATGGGGACACAGGAGAGAGGGATGGGGACAGGGACAAGGACAGGGGACAAGGATGGGGACAAGGGACAGGGATGGGGACAGGGACACAGGGGACAGGGACAAGGGACAGAGATGGGGATGGAGACAGGGATGGGGACGGGGACAGGGACAAGGACAGGGATGGGGATGGGGACAGGGGACAGGGATGGGGACACAGGGGACAGGGACAAGGACAGGGATGGGGACAGGGATGAGGACAGGGACAGGGATGGGACGCTGGGGGACAGAGGTGACACCTGGCACAAGGAAAACAGTGCAGGACGGGGAGGAGAGGAAAGGCTGAGTGTGGGCAGGGGGGTTTCACACCCGGGTTATCAAACTCGGGTTATCACTGGTGTTATCACATCTGGGTTATCACACCTGGGTTATCAAACCCGGGTTATCACTGGTGTTATCACACCCAGGTTATCAAACCTGGGTTATCAAACTCGGGTTATCACACCCGGGTTATCATTGGTGTTATCACATCTGGGTTATCACATCTGGGTTATCAAACTCCAGTTATCCCACCCGGGTTATCACTGGTGTTATCACATCTGGGTTATCACACCCGGGTTATCACATCTGTGTTATCACACCCGGGTTATCACTCCTGTGCTCGTGCTGCCCGGGTGGAATTCTGGATTCCAGGGGTGGGGGGTTTTGGGACACAGAGGATTTGGGGTCACAGGGGGCTCCGGGGCCCAGAGAACCCCAAGGACTGGAGGTTTTTGTGCTGCAGACGGTTCCGGGGGTCAGAGCTCTTGTGGTAGGTGGTGGCCCCGAGCCCGCTGTCCCCGGTGGCACCGAGCCCGCTGTCCCCGGGGGTCCCCAGCCCGCTGTCCCCGGGGGTCCCCAGCCCGCTGTCCCCGGGGGTCCCCAGCCCGCTGTCCCCGGTGGCCCCGAGCCCGCTGTCCCCGGGGGTCCCCAGCCCGCTGTCCCCGGCAGGTGGTGCTGCCGGCGCCGTGAATAAAGTCAGGAGAAGAAAAGCGGCCAAACGTGAGAGGGATGGGGCGGCGGGAGCGGGGAGGGACCGGGTAGGGAGCGGGGAGGGACCGGGCAGGAGCGGCAAGAACCGGGCAGGAGCGGCAGGGACCGGGCAGGGAGCGGCAGGGACCGGGCAGGACCGAGCAGGGAGCGGCAAGGACCGAGCAGGACCGGGCAGGGAGCGGCAGGACCGAGCAGGGAGCGGGCAGGACCGAGCAGGGAGCGGCAGGGACCGGGCAGGACCGGGCAGGGAGCGGCAAGGACCGGGCAGGGACCGGGCAGGACCGAGCAGGGAGCGGAAAGGACCGGACAGGAGGGGCAGGGACCGGGCCGGGAGCGGGCAACAAAGAGCTCGGTCCTCCCGGGCCGCGGGGAAGCGCTCGGTGCGGGGGGAGGAAAGGCTCGGAGAGGCACCGGCTCCATCCAGCCGCTCCCTGCCGGGCTGGGAGGGAACGAGGGAACCGGGGAGCAGCGGCGGGGAAGCGCCGGGACCGATCCCGGAGCCCCTCCCGGGGTCACTCCCGGTGCCGGTGCCGCTCCCGGTGCCGCTCCCGGCCCCCTGTCTCTCCTGGAGCCTCTCCCGCTGCCGCTCCCGTAGCCATTCCCGGTGCCGCTCCCGATCCCGGAGCCACTCCCGGTACCGATCCCGATCCCAGAGCCACTCCCGGTACCGATCCCGATCCCGGAGCCACTCCCGGTACCGATCCCGATCCCGGAGCCACTCCCGGTACCGATCCCGATCCCGGTGCCGCTCCCGGAGCCTTTCCCGGTACCGCGGAGCAGCAGCAGCAGCGCTTCAAAGTGAAATTCCGGAGGAAATTTAAAGAGCATCCGGATCCGGAGAAAGACAGAAAGAAACCGGAAGGGGAGAAGGAGGAGGAAGAGGAGGAGGAGGAGGCGGCGGCGGCTGGAGAGGCTCGGTACCGGTACCGGCGGGGATGGGGTGAGAGCCGCGGGCTGTTCTTGCTCTGCTTTTGTTCTTCACGGCGGCGGGGACAGGAATTAAAGGGTTAAATCGCTTTTTCCCCCCTCGCTTGCAGCTGGAAAGTTTCGCCTCGCCTTTTATTTTTGGGCTGGGGAAGTGGGGAATGGCGAGTTGCTACAAGTTCTTTAAATTAAATTAAATTAAATTAAATTAATTTCTGTGGAAGGGAAAGCTCCGGCGATCAGTGGAACCCAAACCGGGAGGGCTGGAGCGGGGCTGCGCCCAAAAACTTCCCCGGGACTTGAAAATTCGGGATTTTCTTGGGTTTCTTGCGGCTCTGGCTTGGGGAAAAAAGGGATCCGGGAGTTCCTGGGGCCGGGAGCCGCCGGGAGCGGCCGGGGCTTGGGCCGCGACCCCGCGGGCTGCTCCCGGGGCGGGACGGAGCGGGGGCTGCCGGGGGGCTTGGTTTCGCCTCGCCTTTTATTTTTGGGCTGGGGAAGTGGGGAATGGCGAGTTGCTACAAGTTCTTTAAATTAAATTAAATTAAATTAAATTAATTTCTGTGGAAGGGAAAGCTCCGGCGATCAGTGGAACCCAAACCGGGAGGGCTGGAGCGGGGCTGCGCCCAAAAACTTCCCCGGGACTTGAAAATTCGGGATTTTCTTGGGTTTCTTGCGGCTCTGGCTTGGGAAAAAAAGGATCCGGGAATTCCTGGGGCCGGGAGCGGCCGGGAGCGGCCGGGGCTTGGGCCGCGACCCCGCGGGCTGCTCCCGGGCCGGGACGGAGCGGGGGCTGCCGGGGGGCTTGGGGGGATTTGGGGGGATTTGGGCGGGGTTTGGGTGGCTTTTGCCGGGTTTGGGCTGACTTTGGTGGATTTTCGTGGGTTTGGATGGATTTTGGACAGATTTTGGCTGATTTTGGCGGATTTTGGCTGATTTCGGTGGGTTTTGGCTGATTTCGGCGGGGTTTGGCTGATTTCGGTGGGTTTTGGCTGATTTCGGTGGGTTTTGGCTGATTTTGGCGGGGTTTGGTTGACTTTGGTAGCTGTTGGTGGATTTTGGGTGGGTTTTGGCTGATTTCGGTGGGTTTTGGCTGATTTTGGTAGCTGTTGGTGGATTTGGGGTGGGTTTTGGTTGATTTCAGTGGATTTTGGATGGATTTTGGTGGCTTTTGGTGGCTTTTGAGCTGATTTTGGCTGGTTTTGGTGGGTTTTGGTGAATTTTGGGGCGATTTTTTCTGATTTTGGCAGGTTTTGGTTGATTTTAGCTAACTTTGGCTGACTTTGGTGGATTTTGGTGGAGTTTGTTTGATTTTTGCTGATTTCGATGGGTTTTCACTGACTGGTGGATTTTGGGTGGGTTTTGGCTGATTTCGGTGGGTTTTGGCTGATTTTGGCGCGGTTTGGCTGATTTTGGTGGGTTTTGGTGGAGTTTGTTTGATTTTTGCTGATTTCGATGGGTTTTCACTGACTGGTGGATTTTCGGTGTCTTTTGGGCTGATTTTAGCTGCTTTTGGCTGGTTTGGGTGGATTTTCGGTGTCTTTTGGGCTGGGCTTTTGAGCTGATTTTGGCTGGTTTTGGTGGGTTTTGGTGAATTTTGGGGCGATTTTTTCTGATTTTGGCAGGTTTTGGTTGATTTTAGCTAACTTTGGCTGACTTTGGTGGATTTTGGTGGAGTTTGTTTGATTTTTGCTGATTTCGATGGGTTTTCACTGACTGGTGGATTTTGGGTGGCTTTTGGGCTGATTTTGACTGCTTTTGGGTGGATTTTGGGTGGATTTTGGGCTGATTTTGGCTGGTTTGGGTGGATTTTGGGCTGGTTTTGGCTGATTTTGGCTGGTTTGGGTGGATTTTGAGTGGCTTTTGTGCTGATTTTGGCTGGTTTGGGTGGATTTTGGGCTGGTTTTGGCTGATTTTGGCTGGTTTGGGTGGATTTTCAGTGTCTTTTGGGCTGATTTTGGCTGGTTTGGGTAGATTTTGGGTGGCTTTTGGGCTGATTTTGGGCTGGTTTTGGCTGATTTTGGGCTGAATTTGGGCTGATTTTGGCTGATTTTGGCTGATTTTGGCTGCTTTTGGCGCGGGACAGGAGCCCAGGCTGGGCTTTGATCCGTTCCCAGCTCGGATCCCTTCCAGGACCCGGTGCTTTGGGAGTTTTGTGCAGTCGGGTCAGGGGAATCCTGTCAGATCGAGCAGGGTTTGGCATAAATCACATTCCTGGGGGCCTCTTGTCCTTTTTTGAAAATTTACCCTTCTCCTTTTTAAGAATTTTTCTGTTTTCCTTTTTTAAAATTTTACCCTTTCTCTTTCTTTAAATTTTCTGCTTTAAATTTTTTTTCCATTTTCCTTTTTTAAAAAAATCCTTTTTTTTTTTAATCATCCATTTTCCTTTTTAAAAAATTTCCTTTTTTAAAATTTTCCTTTTTTTTTTTTAATTTCCCACTTTCCTTTTTTAAAAATTTCCCTTTTGGAGCCGGGGCTGGGGAGGCAGGAGTGAGGAATGAGCAGTGACAGCGACGTGAGGCTGGCAGAGCCTTTGAAGCTGGCAGGGATCTGCTGATCCCATTAAATCAGGTTTAGTTTTTTTTTCCTGTCGTTCTGAAACTGCCAGACCTGCCAGGAGAGGCTTGACAAGGCCAGAACTCAGGACTAGGCTCCTCCTTATTTCATTTATTTATTTATTATTATCCTCCTTATTTCATTTATTTATTTATTATTATCCTCCTTATTTCATTTATTTATTTATTATTATCCTCCTTATTTCATTTATTTATTATTGTCCTCCTTATTTCATTTATTTATTTATTATTGTCCTCCTTATTTCATTTATTTATTTATTATTGTCCTCCTTATTTAATTTATTCATTTATTATTGTCCTCCTTATTTCATTTATTTATTTATTTATTATCATCCTCCTTATTTCATTTATTTATTTATTATCGTCCTCCTTACTTTATTTATGCATTTTCTGTGAAGGATTCCTGAGCTGCAGCCTGCTGTTTCATTTTTAAATTTTAATTGCTACATTCCATTTTAAATTTTTAAATTTTAATTCCGTCCTAGCAGTGTTCATGTCCCAGAGCAGGAGGAGGAAGGGCACGCCCAGGAGGCTCCATAATTCCAGGGAAAATCCCATTTTTTGGGGTTTTTTTGTGTGTGACCTTGCTGGTCCCTGCTCTGGTGCAGCTGCTCAGGATTCCTGCACGGGGAAATCTCCTGGGAGCGGGGCAGGAGCCAGAGCTATTCCTGGAGCTGCTCCTGCCAAGGTCACAGCCCTGCACCTGCTGCGAGGGGAAACTGCTTGGGAACCCAAACCGTGTCCCCAAAACCCCAAATCCTGCTTGGGAACCCAAACCGTGTCCCCAAAACCCCAAATCCTGCTTGGGAACCCAAACCGTGTCCCCAAAACCCCAAATCCTGCTTGGGAACCCAAACCTACTCCCCAAAACCCCAAATCCTGCTTGGGAACCCAAACCTTGTCCCCAAAACCCCAAATCCTGCTTGGGAACCCAAACCTACTCCCCAAAACTCCAAATCCTGCTTGGGAACCCAAACCTTGTCCCCAAATGCTGCTTGGGAACCCAAACCTACTCCCCAAAACCCCAAATCCTGCTTGGGAACCCAAACCTACTCCACAAAAACAAAAATAATGCTTGGGAACCCAAACCTACTCCAAAAAACCCCAAAATCCTGCTTGGGAACCCAAACCTACTCCCCAAAACCCCAAATCCATCTTTGGAACCCTAACCTTGTCCCCAAATCCTGCTTGGGAACCCAAACCTTGTCCCCAAAACCCCAAATCCATCTTTGGAACCCTAACCTTGTCCCCAAATCCTGCTTGGGAACCCAAACCTTGTCCCCAAAACCCCAAATCCATCTTTGGAACCCAAACCTTGTCCCCAAAGCCAGCTTTGGAACCCAAACCTTGTCCCCAAATCCTGCTTGGGAACCCTAACCTTGTCCCCAAATCCTGCTTGGGAACCCAAACCTTGTCCCCAAAACCCCAAATCCTGCTTGGGAACCCAAACCTTGTCCCCAAAACCCTAAATCCATCTTCCAAACTTTGTCCCCAAAGCGCTTCTGCAGTTCAGTGTCCTTGGGGAGGAATGGTGGGGTACCCTGGGCTATGGAATATCCTGGGCTGAAATGTGGAATAACCCGGGATATGGAATATCCTGGGCTATGGAATATCCTGGGCTGAAATGTGGAATAACCCGGGATATGGAATATCCTGGGCTATGGAATATCCTGGGCTGAAATGTGGAATAACCTGGGATATGGAATATCCTAGCCTGGGGTATGGAATATCCTGGGTTGAAATGTGGAATATCCTGAAATGTGGAATAACCTGGGATATGGAATATCCTGGGCTATGGAATATCCTGGGCTGAAATGTGGAATAACCTGGGATATGGAACATCCTGGGCTATGGAATATCCTGGGCTGAAATGTGGAATAACCCGGGATATGGAATATCCTGGATTATGGAATGTTCTGGGTGAAATGTGGAACATGCTGGGATATGGAATATCCTGGGCTGAAATATGGAATAACCTGGGATATGGAATATCCGGGATTATGGAATGTCCTGGGTGAAATGTGGAACATCCTGGGCTATGGAATATCCTGGGCTGAAATGTGGAATAACCTGGGATATGGAACATCCTGGGCTATGGAATATCCTGGGCTGAAATGTGGAATATCCTGGGTTGAAATATGGAATAACCTGGGCTATGGAATATCCTGGGTTGAAATGTGGAATATCCTGAAATGTGGGATATCCCGGGCTATGGAATGTCCTGGGCTGAGTTGTGGGATATTTTGGGCTATGGAATATCCTGGCTGGAACGGGATCACCCAGTCCAGCTCCAGGGATTGTCCTGCACCCCCAGAGGCTCTGCAGGGCTCGGAGTTTGGGGGGAAGGAGCTGGGTGTGACTTTTATCAACCCCCAGACAGACAGACAGCACTGACAGACCGACAGCACTGACAGACAGACAGCCAGCACTGACAGACAGCCAGCACTGACAGCAGCTCCTGGGGCTGCAGAGGGGAGATAAAGGGAGAGCAGACAGCCCAGGAGGAGGAGGAGGAGGAGGGTTGGGCTCCCAGCCCCTCTCTGTGCCCCAGTTCTGCCTTTTTGGGGTGCTGGGCTCTGCCTGGGATTGCTGGGGGGATTCTCCCTGGGATTGCTGGGGGATTCTCCCTGGGATTGCTGGGGGATCCTCCCTGGGATTGCTGGGGGATTCTCCCTGAGGATTCCTGGGGGATTCTCCCTGGGGAGGGAGAGCCTGGCTCAGCCCCAGGCTGGGCTCCCAGCTGACTCAGCATGGCCAGAGGCCAGGGCTGGGCTCATTCCTGTCTCGGGCTCATTTCTGTCTTGTACTCATTCCTGTCCTGTTCACTCTCATTTCTGTCCTGCTCTCGGCTGGGCTCCCAGCTGACTCAGCATGGCCAGAGGCCAGGGCTGGGCTCATTCCTGTCTTGTACTCATTTCTGTCTTGTACTCATTTCTGTCTTGTACTCATTTCTGTCCTGCTCACGCTCATTTCTGTCCTGTTCACACTCATTTCTGTCCTGCTCGCACTCATTCCTGTGCCACTCACTCATTCCTGTCCTGTTCACTCTCATTTCTGTCTCGGGCTCATTCCTGTCCTGTTCACTCTCATTCCTGTCTTGTACTCATTTCTGTCCTGTTCACGCTCATTTTAATCCTGCTCACACTCATTCCTGTGCCACTCACTCATTCCTCTCCTGCTCTCACTCATTCCTCTCCTGCTCACACTCATTCCTGTCCTGCTCTCATTCCTGTCCTGCTCACTCTCATTCCTGTCCTATTCTCTCTCACTTCTGTCCTGTTCTCACTCATTTTTGTCCTGTCCTGGACTAATTTCTGTCCCCCTCACTTCTGTCCTGTTCACGCTCATTTTAATCCTGCTCACACTCATTCCTGTGCCACTCACTCATTCCTGTCCTGTTCACTCTCATTTCTGTCTCGGGCTCATTCCTGTCCTGTTCACTCTCATTCCTGTCTTGTACTCATTTCTGTCCTGTTCACGCTCATTTTAATCCTGCTCACACTCATTCCTGTGCCACTCACTCATTCCTGTCCTGTTCACTCTCATTTCTGTCTCGGGCTCATTCCTGTCCTGTTCACTCTCATTCCTGTCTTGTACTCATTTCTGTCCTGTTCACGCTCATTTTAATCCTGCTCACACTCATTCCTGTGCCACTCACTCATTCCTCTCCTGCTCTCACTCATTCCTGTCCTGCTCACACTCATTCCTGTCCTGTTCACTCTCATTCCTGTCCTGCTCTCATTCCTGTCCTGCTCACTCTCATTCCTGTCCTATTCTCTCTCACTTCTGTCCTGTTCTCACTCATTTTTGTCCTGTCCTGGACTAATTTCTGTCCCCCTCACCCGGCCCTGCCCTGCAGATCCCGCTCAGGGAGAGGCCCCTGCGGGCAGAGCCCAGCCCGGGACACCTGAGGACAGTGGGGCCAGCCCAGCCCTGTGACACCCGTGGCAGGACAGCCCGTGTGACACCCGTGGCAGGACAGGACAGCCCGTGTGACACCCGTGGCAGGACAGCCCTGTGACACCCGTGACAGGACAGCCCTGTGACACCCGTGACAGGACAGGACAGCCCCTGTGACACCCGTGGCAGGGCAGGACAGCCCGTGTGACACCCGTGACAGGACAGCCTGTGTGACACCCGTGACAGGACAGGACAGCCCTGTGACACCCGTGACAGGGCAGGACAGCCCTGTGACACCGGACCCCTGTGCCCCCCCCCCAAACATCTCCCGGACCCCTGTGCCCTCCCCAAACATCTCCCGGACCCCTGTGCCCCCCCCAAGCCCCCCTGGGCCCTTCCCCTGCTCCGTGCCAGGAGGAGCCCAGGAGGAGCCCTTTGGGTCTTTGCCCAGGCAGCACCTGGGGCCAGGTGAGGAACACCTGGAGGGAGAGGTCAGAGTGAAACCATCCCTTCCTTCCCTCCCCTGCTGCTGCTGCCTCCGGGGCTCCGGGGGATTCCCAGGAAAAAAGGGGTGCTTTTAATGGATATCCACTGAATTAAGGGGTGCTTTTAATGGATATCCACTGAATTTAGGGGTGCTTTTAAAGGATATTCACTAAAAAGGGGGAGCTTTTAATGGATATTCACTAAAAGGAGGGGTGCTTTTAATAGTTATCCACTGAATTAAGGGGTGATTTAAAGGATATTCACTAAAAGAAGGGGTGCTTTTAATGGATATTCACTAAAAAAAGGGGAGCTTTTAATGGATATCTACTGAATTAAGGGGTTCTTTTAATGAAGATCCATTAAATTAAGGCGTTCTTTCATGGGATGCCCACTGAAAGAGGGGGTTCTTTTAAAGGATACCCACTAAAAGAGGGGGTTCTTTTAAAGGATATCCAGTAAAAGAAGGGGTGCTTTTAATGGATATCCACTGAATTAAAGTCTTATTTTCAAGGATATTAACTAAAAGAAGGGTTTTTTTTGAAGGATATTAAGGGGTTAATTTAAAGGCTATTCACTAAAAGAAGGGGTGCTTTTAATGGATATNNNATGGACAGGGACACAGGGATGGGATCCTGGATGGACAGGGACAGAGGGACAGGATCATGGATGGACAGGGACACAGGGACAGGACTCCAGGACAGACAGGAGCCCAGGGACAGCTGCTGTGCCCAAGGAATGATCTCCCAGGAGGGTTTTCCATCAGGCAGCAGCTCACAGGCATGGCTGGAAGCTCTGGAGCCTCCCAGGCTCCAGGGGGGGTTTGCACAGCTCACCCGAATATCTCCCACAACAGGGGGGAAAAGCCTCATTCAGTGATGAGAAATCCCTGCAAAGGAGCAGCTCTGTGAATACTGGGGGCACACAGAGCCCCTGGAGGTGCCTGGCTGTGTGGGGAATAACAGCTGGACTTTCCCTTGCCAGGGAATGAATCCCTGTGGAGGCAGCGCTGGGAAGGAGCCTCAGAGCAGCTGAGAGAGCCCTGAGAGGAGCTGCTGGAGGAGGGGACACCCCACTAACTGCACCAGCCTCCTGCCCTTACTAACAAATGTCAACAGCTCGGTAAAGTCCTGCCTTTGTTCTTTCCAAAAGCAGCCCAGGGCTCGGGGCTTTAGGGGCAGAAATATCCATTTTTTTTTCCCTGCTGTGCCAAAGCTAGGTCGTGATCCACGTGAAAACAGAGCCTGGGAAATTGGAATCTCGCTCCAAAAATGCAGGCAGAGAGGGTGTGGAGTGTGCTGGCAGGAGAAATCTGAGTCAGGGCTGGCACCCGGGAGCAGGGAGGAAATCAAATATTCCCTGCTGGGTTCTGGGCTGGCTCTGGAAAAGCACCAGGGGGGTTTGGATTGGTGGCACGGGCTGGCAGCACTCGGGATGGACAGGGATCAGCAGCAGCCGGGGTTTTGGGGGGCTCCACACAGCAGGAATGTGCCTGTGCCTTGCAGCTGCCAGCGGGGGCAAATCCCATAAAATCCCCCCGGGTTTGGGTGCTGAGCGGGGCCCTGGGTTCGGTCAGAGCCAGCCTGGAGCAGCTGGGCTGTTTTATCATGGAAAACATTCCTAAATCCCAGAAAACTTCGCTGGGTTCGGTCAGAGCCAGCCTGGAGCAGCTGGGCTGTTTTATCATGGAAAACATTCCTAAAACATTCCTAAATCCTATAAAACGTCTAAATCTGGGATTTAGGGGACTGCCAGGCTGTTACTATAACAGCTTTCCCAGGATTTTCTGGGAATTTTCTCAGAGCTTTCCCAGGATTTTCTGGGAATTTTCTCAGAGCTTTCCCAGGATTTTCTGGGAATTTTCTCAGAGCTTTCCCAGGATTTTCTGGGAATTTTCTCAGAGCTTTCCCAGGATTTGCTCCCAGGATTTTCCTGGGAGAACCAGTATTGGATTTGCAGGCATCCTCGTGGCAGGAGGGAGCGATGAATCTGACTCCGTGTCCTCAGAAGGCTAATTTATTATTTTATGAAACTATTTTATATTAAATAATACAGAAAGGAGACTTACAGAAGGCTAAAAAGATAATAATGACAACTCGTGGCTCTCTCCAGAGCCCTGACTGGCCAGAGAGTGAAAACAATTCACAGCTGAACACAAATAAACAATCACCTGTGGGTAAACAACCCCCAGCCACATCCCAGAGCTGCGAAACGCAGCAGAAGCGAATGAGATAAAATCGTTTCCCTTTTCCCCTGAGGCTTCTCAGCTTGCCAGGAGAGGAATCCCGGGCGAAGGGATTTTCCAGAGGATGCGAATGTGACAGGCAGGGCTCTGAGGGAAGGGAGGAAATTCCTGCACTTCCCCTTCCCTCACTCCGAACCGCTGAAACCCAAAATCGCCGACAATTCCGAAATGCCTGACTGCCCTCACAGGGCTCTTTGCCTTCTGTTCATTTCCCAAAATAACTCATTTGCATGAGCCCAGCCCCTCCCATCCCTGCTCTGCGTTAAAATGAGGTCATTGGCCCTTCACACGTGTGCAGTTCTCTCTAATGGGGGCAGCGGTCCCTGACTGGGTCAGTGGTCCCAGGGATGAAGTCAGGAAGGTCTTCCTCAGCTCTCTGTGACCCTCTGGCACCACCCACGCCCCTGCTTGGGCGGACTGAGAGTCCAGGGGTGGGATTTGTTCTGGTTTCAGTAAAGGTTCCTTCAATTCCTTCCTTCACGTGCTGCACTTCCTTCTGCCAACGAGCTCAAAATGCAACAGTTGGCTTCGGGTTGTTATTTCTACAGCAGAGCTTTGGAGCTTCGGGTTGTTATTTCTACAGCAGAGCTTTGGAGCTTCGGGTTGTTATTTCTACAGCAGAGCTTTGGATTTAAACGTCCAGAGATCATCTGCCTGTCACTGGTGCATCTAATGTTAGTATGAGTTGGTTCTGAGCCCCAGGTGAAATCCTAACCCTGTAAAATCATGAATCAAAGTCCTGTTATCTGACTTCAGTGTGGATTGGTTCTGAGCCTCAGCTAAAATCCCAACCCTGTAAAATCCTAACCCTATAAAATCATAACCCTATAAAATCATGATTCAAAGCCCTGTTATCTAACTTCAATATGGGTTGGTTCTGAGCCTCAGGTGAAATCTTAACCCTATAAAATCCCAACCGTATAAAATCATCATTCAAAGCCCTGTTATCTAACTTCAATATGGGTTGGTTCTGAGCCTCAGGTGAAATCTTAACCCTATAAAATCCCAACCGTATAAAATCATCATTCAAAGCCCTGTTATCTAACTTCAATATGGGTTGGTTCTGAGCCTCAGGTGAAATCTTAACCCTATAAAATCCTAACCCTATAAAATCATGGTTCCAAGCCCTGTTCTCCTGTTGGTTTATCTAATTTCAATATGAATTGGTTCTGACTCTTAGCTGAAACCTTAACCCTATAAAATCATGATTCAAAGCCCCATTATTTAATTTCAGTATGAATTGGTTCTGACCCTCAGCTGAAATTTAACCCTATAAAATCATGATTCCAAGCCCTGTTATCTAACTTCAATATGGATTGGTTCTGACCCTCAGCTGAAATTTTAACCCTAAAAAAGGCATGATTCCAAGCCCCATCATTTAATTTCAGTATGAATTGGCTCTGAGCCTCGGCTGAAATTTTAGCCCTATAAAATCATGGTTCCAAGCCCCGTTATTTAATTTCAATATGAATTGGTTCCCTCAGCTGAAATTTTAACCCTATAAAATCACCGTTCCAAGCCCCGTTATTTAATTCCAATATGAATTGGTTCCCTCAGCTGAAATTTTAGCCCTATAAAATCATGGTTCCAAGCCCCATTATTTAATTTCAGCGTGAATTGGCTCTGAGCCTCGGCTGGAATTTTAACCCTTTCAAACCACGGCTCCAAGCGCTGTTCTCCACCCCTGCAGGGAGCAGCCCATCTTCAGCACCAGGGCCCACGTGTTCCAGATCGACCCAGCCACCAAGAGGAACTGGATCCCGGCCAGCAAACACGCCCTGACCGTCTCCTACTTCTACGATGCCACCCGCAGCGTCTACAGGATCATCAGCGTGGGGGGCACCAAGGTGGGCACTGCCCAGGGCACCGCGGGGCAGCCGTGGGCCAGAAACACAGCTGTGGGCCTGGAAACACAGCTGTGCCCCTGGAAACACAGCTGTGTGCCTAAAGAAACCAGCTGTGTGCCTAAAAAATAGCTGTGACCCTAAAAAATAGCTGTGCCCCCGGGAAAACAGCTGTGTGCCCAAAAAATAGCTGTGTGTGTAGAGAAA